TTGAGATTGTCAGCAGACGATATTGGTTTAATTATAGTTTCAGCCAAATATTTTTCAGGTATTATATAGTCTTGTTGTTCTTCAGGATGGGAAAATACTTTATGTTGCGAAAGATGATAAACCAATCTTCCAAAGAAACTGTCTCTAACAAATCTGTAAAACATCTTTGGTTATTTTGTATTTAGTTAATAAGCGATGTTATTTGAATGAAGAAGAAGACTGAAAGAAAACTGAAAAGATGAGGGAAATCTCATGCCGTATTTATAGTTGATATTGAAGTGGCAATGGTTTTGTGTGTTCATCCTAATAGGCGCTAGTTACAGCCTTACGGAAAATTTTTTCTGTTACCTTTTTGATCATCGGGCGTAACCTTAAAAAATATTTCACTGATTTTATTTTTTAGGTAACAACCATTTTATTTCTAGAAACGTTTTCGGTGGTTTCCCAATTGGGTAGACTCGGACGAGATTGATTTGTCAACAAAATAGTTTCCGATTTTTCATTTTTGCGCTTACTTATTATTTAGCCGCAATTTTGCAATCTTATCTTTAATCTCTCTTTGATCTGCCAGTGTTTTTTTTAAAAGCTTCTGAGTTTGATGTCAAAAACAACAAACGGTACAATCCAACCTGCAAGAGGGGGCAATGTAATCCAGTGTTTATCATCCTGATGATGACACAAGTTTTCTTTTTTGTTTATTTTTGTTTTTGTTTGGGATAATTTTTATGACTCACATAACCCATGACAATTTTTCACCAAAACAAAATACAAACAAAACATATAACCTTGTGCGAATATCGGGAGCCATTCATAACCTTTCGGAAGTAGGCACGGATGGACCCGAAAGTATAAGAGTTGTTGGGCTTGTAATAGAGAATAACGGAAGTTACTGATTTCAGGAAATGTACCGTCCAGCAACCCATGATTATTGAACAATATCTAAACCGCATACCTTCCCTTATCAATTTTAAACCCCGAAAACTCGTTAATTATAATTTCAATTAAAACCTCCAAGGTAATACAGACAATAATAATGAGAATCTTGCTTACAAAAGCCTTTTCAAATTCAACCGTATTTAGAATCCATCCCCCGCGCCACACAAAATCATATTCGGAATTAACTAAGTCCATATTAGGATTTTTTCTCCGTAAATGTTTTCTAAGCAATATCTGAAAAATAATAATAGCATTCGGATTAAACTAACACCATTTTCCTATCCCCGTATCATATGGAATTGTTCCAGATTTATCTTACAAATATTACTCTTATGAAAATATTGAGGGGAAGTATTAACGAATTAACAGGAACTAATTTTAGTGTAATGGTGTAAGGAGTGGTTATGTGCTCCTTCCCAATTTGGAATTGGAGTAATCGCGGAGATAATAGACTTTCGTCGGTCGTTAGTGAGTATGTGGTATGGCGGAGGCCCGGACGTGGTTCCTGTGTGTAACTTGTTACACTACAGTTGATTTCTGAAAAGCTTCGATTCGGCCGCTACTTTCCCCGTTTCCTAAACTTTAGGACTCGAGGATAAATACCTGTGGATTCCCCCTTTAGAGGTGTCGTATAATAACCGAGCTTGTCGCGAAATCGGTTATTCCGACACGAGTGACCAACCAGGGATGGTAAGTATCCTGTTGCGCACTCTCACCGAAATGAGGTAGAAAGTGTCACGTGAATTTGTGACTGTTTTTAGATTGTTGAGCGAAACAAGCGCAATTAGAATTTGATGAAGGTTTCACTATTACGACAATTTTGTGTAATGCAAAACTTTTCACTGCTTAGTCCAGCGAGGATTGAAAAACTCGTTGACACTCTTTTTATATACTTTATCTATATATAGAAAAACTATCGAATATTAGAGAAGAATTCCGATCAACCAGTAGAGATCTCGTGATCACCAAAGATCATATCACGAATCCCATTTATTGCCCACAGAGTACTATAGAAGGAAACGGGTTAATATCAGACATACAGTAAATCATACATTTGCCCAACTTCCAGAAGTATTAACGAATACTTAAGTTGGTAAACTGTCAGTGCCAGAAGAGAAATAAGTTACTACACGACAGTATAGTGGTGGTCCAAACAATTCGAACTGCTGAAGATTGCCCACATTTATTTACATCATCATTTCAAAACTCGGTATAACATCTTATATCAGTTTCAGTCCGATTATACAACCAGAATCATTGTATAATCCCAGTATATTCACAGCATCTCAATCCGATTATAAAACCAGAACCATTTTGTAATCCCAGATCCTTTACGGAACATTCCCAGTCCATTTATTAAGTCACTGATCCTCCTTACAGTACACTACTCATAGAATCAGAATGACCCAGAAAACAGCCCCAGGCGACACTACTAGTCAACCTACTTCACAAGCAACTTCTTTAGATTCGCTCCTCAAAATCATAAACGAACTCCGTGCAGAAGTCCAAGCACTAAAAACAGAATTCAAAGCGGACATAAGTCGCATCAAGTCGGATACTAGCCTTGCAAGAGACTTAGCAACAACGGCCATGGACTCCTTTACAACCTTGAATGCACTTGTGGACAACATCGATCAGAAAGTTGAAGATACGAGTCGTGACGTCGCCAAGAACACAAGAGAACTAAAGAAAATGACTGCCGCCAATGAGCCAATCATTTCACTACCAAACGATGACGCTGACGAACAACAGTCCATCACGTCAGACATTACCAGGAATACAGAGAGAACTAGCATTCCTGACCCAGAATTAGAAACACCAGGAAACATGAGTGGCAATACTTCTATGAGAGATTTCACTCCAGTTTCCCAAATCCCTTCCATCAAACTGGACTCCAATACCACCTCGTTTTTGAATACATTTGAATGGTCGGAGAAAGGAAAGAAAATTTACGATGTGGGGAAAATTGAGAAAGAGATCCCACAAATTATGAACCCCAAGCAATCCGTAGAAGACGAGTTCAATAAGAGATATCAACACTTACATCAGTTAGGAGATGAAGACAGAACTCACAACCAACAACGGAGCTACGAGAAATTCGACAAAAGTCAATTCCCGAACTGGAAAGAAATCCATTCTTTAAATGATTTCTCGACGTGGTTAAGAGACTTATTAAAATACAAATTCGATTACGGTATTCCTGATGCATTGTTAAGAACAACAATAGTGGAAGCAGCAGCGAAACCGAAGAATGACAAATTGAAGAACTGGGTAGCCATTGCCACTGAATCCAATGATCTTCAGAATACATTTCCCATTGAATACAAATACATTATCGGGCCTTTGAAGAAAGAGATTGTGTCTGAAAAGCCCAAAGACATCGTGACTCAAGTCGAAAACATATTTGACCGACACGGAGACGATTTAGAAACCTTAATGATGAGCCTTGATGCGCGATTAAGTTTCCATTTAAAGAAAGGTGGGAACAGTGTGACAATTGAACGTCGTCAATGGATCAAGATTTGGAAATTCATTTGGAAAGAAGTTCCTGCTTTCATGGAAGCCTTGCGAATCCGTTGGGGAGTACATAAGACTTATGAATTTAATCAATTAAAATACATTGAATTTTTGGATGAAGAATTTTTAGATGACGACGACGAATGTGATATTGACTTTGAAACCATTTGGAACAAACTCGGCACAGATATCTACAAAATTTTCTCGACCCATACCTTCAGTAATCAAGATCGATTAACAACTTCAGCTAAGGCAAAGCACTCCAAGAAACCAAAAAACCCAGAAGTGAAAACTACAACAACACCACCCACAACTCCAGCACGAGGAAATTGTCTAGGTTGTGGTGAACCCGGCCACATGATGCTTTCATGTCCACTCCTTAAAGAAGCACTTGCATCCAAGAAATTATGCTTGAAAGATGGGAAAGTTCATGACACCGACGGTAAACCCCTTCCTGTCAGAAGAGGTCAAACCCTCAAAACAAGATATCCAAAATTGTTCCCAGCAAATAATACTGGAGACACCCAATAATCTACTACCAAACCAAGTTTTAAAAGATGAGAAGAAATGCAACATTCGATAACCAGCCGTTCTCTTTCAGAGGGGGGAGCCTGTCGTATAATAACCGAGCTTGTCGCGAAATCGGTTATTCCGACACGAGTGACCAACCAGGGATGGTAAGTATCCTGTTGCGCACTCTCACCGAAATGAGGTAGAAAGTGTCACGTGAATTTGTGACTGTTTTTAGATTGTTGAGCGAAACAAGCGCAATTAGAATTTGATGAAGGTTTCACTATTACGACAATTTTGTGTAATGCAAAACTTTTCACTGCTTAGTCCAGCGAGGATTGAAAAACTCGTTGACACTCTTTTTATATACTTTATCTATATATAGAAAAACTATCGAATATTAGAGAAGAATTCCGATCAACCAGTAGAGATCTCGTGATCACCAAAGATCATATCACGAATCCCATTTATTGCCCACAGAGTACTATAGAAGGAAACGGGTTAATATCAGACATACAGTAAATCATACATTTGCCCAACTTCCAGAAGTATTAACGAATACTTAAGTTGGTAAACTGTCAGTGCCAGAAGAGAAATAAGTTACTACACGACAGAGGTTTTGGGATTTGATTGGGGAACAACGATCTATTACATAGATTATATACAACACTGAACTTTGGTTCATCCTTGGAATTCCTAATACACATTCGCTCGGTCGATTCATTAGACGGTCAAGCGCTTCCCTGTTCAAACAACTTTAGTATTCTCATAAATTCGAGTAAAACACTATCTATCTTACAATTGGTAGCTTCGAGAAAAGTTACTACTCAACAACAACAAAAATGAGAAGAAAACAACAAACCAAAATTATTCCTTCACCACCTCCTGCAAATGAGGAGAGTAATAATGAGGAGAACAACAATGAGGAGAACGATATTAATATGGATTCTCAACATGATAATTCAGAATCTAATTTAGAAAATAATTCAAATAACAACGCTCAAAACCAAGATACAAATGAACCAAATGTTCAGACAAATTCTTCACATTCTACAACTCCACCCCACCCCTTTCCATTAATTCAACACCAAACTCAAAATCAACCTAATTTGGAAACAACCCAAACAATTTTCGCCGCATTTTCTGAAATGGCAAAGTATATTACAATGCCTATCCGCAATAGTCAAGCTTTAACATCAGTTAATCATATGGCAACTCAAGCCAAATTTGAAAAATTTAATGGCAATAATAGTAAAGTGGCATTCCAACTTTTGAGACAATTAGAACAATCAATAAACAACTTTGAATCAGTAAAAGGTGATCCACTTAACCTGTTAGAATTTATGGCGATTTCGGTTGCACATTTTGAAGGTGCGGGGTTGGATATGGTTATAGACTTTATTAATTCTGAAGCACTGAATATTACTTCAAATAAACTTTTAGATTTCATCAGAACTCAATTAGTCGATCCTAATTTGGAATTTAACTTATCAGGAGAATTGTACAACTTTAAACAAATGTCTAACTTTAAAGCTTACAAACAAAGTTTTCTAAAGTTAATCAACAAATTTCCACAACCTTATCTGAATGAATTGGAGAAATTTATCGTTCATCAATTTGTTGAAAAAGCTACACCTGGCAATAGGTCATATTTGAGGGCTCATTGCAAAACAATAACTGATATTAGATCTATCAATTTATCAGAAGAACTTCTCAAATCAGATTCCAATCATTTCAACAAGCAAAATAAGAAACGTTTTAGATCATCAAATGACAATTCTGATACTACTACTTCAACTGGTCAAAGTTCTACCAAATCCAGTTCATCAGCTTCACTTACTGATGGTTCTCCACCTGCCAAAAAGAAACGTGTTTTCTGTAAGAAACACAATTCATGGGGTTATCATACTACTTCTGAATGTCGTATCGGCTCATCATCATCTTCAAAACTGGCACCCAGATCCAAGTCTAAGACCGTCGATAAGGATACTACGGAGGAGAATTCAAAAAAATAAGTGCGTCCGAGACCCAAGACGTTAAACTAATGGTCACATTCGCAGCTATGAATGTTCCGGTTTCGGTTGGTTCAGATGCTGAGTTTGTGGAGGTTCGTTTAACAGGCCTCAGACCTCTAGTTGGGTTTCTCGACTCTGGCTGCATGGGTAATTTTATCCACTCAGAAGTCGTGTCTCACATGGAGTCACAAAAACAGAAGTGTGATCCACTTCCTGTCACTGCTTTCGATGGTACATTTTTGTGTACTGTTAACCAATTTATTGACTTAGAATGGCCTCCCCATTTTAAGAGTTTGAGATTTTATATTACTTCTTTAAGTAACTATCAAGTTGTGTTAGGTGCTAAAGTTTGTAAACGTTTTTGGAAACTTCCTGAAGACGTCAAAATACTTGATGAGGATTTGTTGAATCATCTTGTATCTAGTACCGAACCTTCTGATGCCGAACTTATATTTGCTAATACACATGTGCTTGTTCTGTCACTGCAGTTGCGAGAAATTTCCTCTGGGGATTCTGCGACTGATACACTTTCGCACGTTGTAAAATCTAGTAGTTCGCTCGTTCAACCTGACATTCAGGACTTTATTTCTTCTCTTACTGAGAAATTTGCTCGCTATTTTCATAACGATCCCATTACGCACCGTGTTCATAATCAATTTGAACATCCCATAGAACTACAGGCTTTCACTCGCTATCCAAGTCGTCCTTTTTATCCTATGAAAAAGGAGAATGAGATCGAATTGGAAAGACAAGTTCAGAAATTTTTGGACTTAGGTCTTATTGAGGAAAGTCATTCTAGTTTCGCTGCACCCTGCATATTAGTTAACAAACCTGATGGTTCCAAAAGACTATGCATTGACTACCGTGAATTGAATAGTATTACTATCATTGACAAATTCCCTTTGCCAATTATTGAAGATTTATTACCTACCATTAACGATGCATGCTTCTTTTCCAAGCTTGATCTATCACTGGGTTATCATCAAATCAATGTAGCCAAGAAAGATAGACACAAGACAGCGTTTAGAACTCGCTCGGGGTTATATCAATGGAACGTGATGCCTTTTGGGTTATGTAATGCTCCGGCAACATTCCAAAGAGTCATGAATTCTATTTTTAAACCATTCCTTGGAAAATTTGTGGTCGTATATTTGGATGACATTTTAGTCTTCAGTAAAACCAAAGAGGATCATAAAAATCATCTTACCAGAGTATTTGAAGTTCTTGCAAAGTACGGTTTCGTTGCTAAGAAATCCAAATGTGAGTTTTTCTGTACTAGAATCCAATACTTAGGACACATCATTCTGCATGGGCGTGTGAGAATATCACCGTCTAAGATTGATGCCGTCGAAGGTTGGCAATTTCCTAAATCAAAACGGGAGATGAGAACGGTAATCGGTTTTGCTAGTTATTGTCGGAAATCCATTAAGAATTATGCATCACATGTCAAACCGTTAACTGATTGGGCTATTCGAAATAAAAGAGTGAAGAAATCTATCTTGATTGAATCTTTCAACAAGCTTAAGTATCTTTTAACTCATTCACCCACCTTGGTTACACCTTCACCAGATGCAGTCTATAAGATTACCACTGATGCAAGCGACTATTGTACCGGTGCCGTGATTGAAAAGTTAGATCCTGCGGGAAAATCCATGGGAATTGTGGCATATTTTTCCAAAGTTATGAATAAGCATGAGTTAAACTATCCTCCTCGTGAGAAGGAATTTTTAGCTATCATTCGAGTATTGGAACGTCACAGACACATGTTACTTGGTCACAAAATTATCCTTGATACTGATCACCAATCCTTGCTGTACATTCTTTCACATCCAAAACCGTTAAGTCCCAAAATGGCTCGATGGTTAGACTTCTTGGGAGAATTCGATCTAGAAATCAACTACATTCGTGGTAAATACAATAAGGCAGACCCATTGACTCGTCGTTGGCAAGATGCGATACAGTTCAATGCTATCTCCTTTCCACTTTCAAATGAGTGCTTAGGTCGAAATTTCTTCAAAGAGTGCCGTGCAAACTATGAATCTTCTATGAAATCACGTAATGTTTACCAAGCGTTGACTAAGAAGGTTACGTCTTCCAGCGATGCTCGGGCAATGAAGAAGTACAAGCTTGAAGATGGTCTTTTATATTACATGGGTTATGATCGAGAAGGTCTTGCTAGTCCAAGACTCTGGGTTCCAACTACTGAATTACAGTTGCGGGTTATACACCAACATCACGATACAGCATCCACGCTCCACCCCGGTCTTCTGCCTACCTATTTCGACATGCAGAAATACTACTACTGGCCGGACATGCATGAATCAATTCGAAGATATATTAAACATTGCGGTATTTGCCAAGCTATAAAGCCTCGTACCCAATCTGGTTATGGTCTTCTTCATCCTATAAAAATCCCTACCAAACGTTGGCAGTCAATAACGATGGACTTCATTTCAGGGTTTAAGAACACTGATGGCAAGGACCAAGTTTTGATTGTTGTTGATCGTTTGACAAAACGTGCACATTTTATTCCTTGTTCCAAGAATATCACTGCACAAGAATGTTCTTACTTGATTTTAAATGAAGTAATTAAACATCATGGGGTTCCTGAAGAGATCATCACGGATCGTGATTCCTTGTTTACTTCTAATTGGTGGAAAGATTTCTTTTCTAGCCTCCAAACGAAATTGAAGTACTCTACCCCTAATCATCCTCAAACAGATGGTCAGACGGAGAGAACAAACAGGACATTCATTCAATTATTACGTGCTTTTAGCAACTTCAAAGATACGCTTTGGTTAGATAAACTTCCTTTGATCGAGTTTGCTTACAACTACCATTACCACTCTTCAATCAAGATGTCTCCTTTTGAAGCAGATCTTTGTTACCAACCTAATCCGCCTCATTTGGATAGTCGGTTGTTTGAGTTTCCTCGTTACCGTGACACACCTGTTAATAAGGTGGATCTCAGTACGAAAGCGGAATACTTGGATTATTTGATAAGTTATGTGAAGCATTCACTAGAACATGCGCAAGATGAACAGGAAAAGCACTTCAATAAGCACCACCAACAACTTTTACTCCAGCAAGGTGACAAAGTTCTATTGCACCGGGATGCAAAAATTTTCGGTCACAGATTTAGGTTTACTAAAGAAGATGAACTTTATTTTGGTCCCTTCGCGGTTATCAAGAAATATCCAGATAACGACAATGCTTATGAGCTTGATCTCGGTCCTGCCTATCGCGACAGGATGGTTAATGTTAAACATATGAGGCCCTTTCAGGACTCGTTGTTTTATGACAAAACACCTCCCACGACGATCCCAGAGCTTATACAAGCTGGTCGTGCTAGAACTATACGAGCTATTCATGGCATTGATTTACTCAATCAGGTCATGGCTTTGACGTTCACCAATTGTGCTCCTTTCCATGCTGCTCTTTTCAGAGTTTCAGATGTTAAACAGGCGCTACACCCAGCATACTTTCAAGAATTGCTAGATCAATATTCTAGTCAGATTCAGGGCGAGCAGGATGAGTTCAACAGGGTTCAAGACTTAGCAGGTTAGTTACTTACTTACATTGTTTATTGTTTACAGTTTGTTTATTTGTTAATCTTATGCCTTTGTTTGTTTACTCCTCTCCAAGCTCGTACACCTGAGTGGTTTTCCTACGCTTTCCACTCCATTTTTTTTGTGGACCAGTGTTTGAGACTATGGCCCTCTTACACGCCAGTCGTTCACGCTATTTTTTTTTATTTTTCCCACATCCTGGTTTTACACAATATTTTTTTTTTTGATTTTTTTGGACATTTTAGTTGATCCTTGTCAACAAGGGGAAGATGGAAGGCTTGATAACAGGACGGAGAGCCCCATCGCCTTCACAGTTGTGGAAACTATCTCAAAATCCACAAACCCAATCAGTTCACAAACGCATACAACCCACTTTTCCCATATCCACCGATTGCCTGTTCACCAATTTGTACAATCCTACACCACGGTCATGCCAAGAGGTTGGCTCCTTCGGACTGATCAAACGAGGACGCTTGATCTTGAGGGGTGGCAAGTGTAAGGAGTGGTTATGTGCTCCTTCCCAATTTGGAATTGGAGTAATCGCGGAGATAATAGACTTTCGTCGGTCGTTAGTGAGTATGTGGTATGGCGGAGGCCCGGACGTGGTTCCTGTGTGTAACTTGTTACACTACAGTTGATTTCTGAAAAGCTTCGATTCGGCCGCTACTTTCCCCGTTTCCTAAACTTTAGGACTCGAGGATAAATACCTGTGGATTCCCCCTTTAGAGGTTTTGGGATTTGATTGGGGAACAACGATCTATTACATAGATTATATACAACACTGAACTTTGGTTCATCCTTGGAATTCCTAATACACATTCGCTCGGTCGATTCATTAGACGGTCAAGCGCTTCCCTGTTCAAACAACTTTAGTATTCTCATAAATTCGAGTAAAACACTATCTATCTTACAATTGGTTTTCTTTTAATGAATTACACTTCATCAGTTGTTGTTGCCACTGAATATTTGAAAAAAAAAGCATTTGCGCTTATTAACACGTGATATGCACTTGAAATGACATTTCCATAGAGCATCAGATGTCTCTAAATACTTTAATTCAACAGTGGAAGATCCTAGAACTACCCATCTGTATTAAAGCTTTATCGGGGGAAAGATTTCTATCGGTGCTCAGTTGCGGAAGGAAGAAATTCCGCTTCCATTTTGCAACCCATTCATTCCGTCGCAGGGGACAATGGGACAATTGTTGTGAAATGCGGCTGAGTTTATGTCTTTGTTTAATTGGGGGATGGATGTGCGCAAAATTTTAATCTAACGGATGCGCTATATATAGATTGATACTAGGCTTTAACGGAACACATTAGCCACGTTCGGTCGGCGATCAATGGAAGATCAAGAATACAGCATACACACCCTCGTTGACGTGTTGGTGTTTTTGGAGACGTCTTTGCAATAGCACTTCGGTTTCATAGCATCCAAGATTATTTCAACAAAGAGAACGACACAAGCTTCAATTTATTATGATAGACTTGTACAAAGACAATTGCGTGGAGATGTGCTTGACTGCATTCCAATCCAAGGCTTGACATAATACCCGCAATTATTTACAATTTCAGACTTTCCCCATCCCCTACTGAAGGAGAACGGCTGATGGTACGTTGCGAGTACATAAACTCAAAAATAGACAGCTCGTTCCTTAAAATAGTGGGATTTGTAGATATCGATACGGTTGTTTCGGAATAGGAATAGCTCACATATCCGTCATATTTCATCATCGCCATTGATTCTTCCAGCAATTCCGAATTTGGATTATCTACTTCTTCTATGAGTATTTCTAACCTATATAAACATGCATCTAGATCATTCTGATCAAATGTACCTCAATTGATAAGCAAATTCAAATATATAGAGATCGAAAAGAAGTAATGCCTACATAGTTTAACTAACAAAGTACATTTATATTGTCAAAATAATGTGAATAAATAATAAATAAACAATCACCTAATAAATATAGAAGAATATCAAAACATCAAGAAATAAAAAGCAGTACCAACGACATGAGAGAGCACGCAAACACAATTATAATTTATTGGCTGGAATAGCTCTACCAACAGTAGTAACTTCATCATAAATCAAAGTAGTAAGGAAATCGGAATATGCTTCACCAGTAGCTTGAGGAACAAAATAATCAAAAGCCTTCTTAAACTTGTTTCCTGGTTTAGCAGTAGTGACTAATTTAGCATATTCTTCTTCTAACAATCTCTTAACATATTGCTTGGTGATAACTTGTCCAGCATCAGTCTTAGCACCATGAGTAACCCATTGCCAAAGTTGAGATCTGGAGACTTCAGCAGTAGCTGCATCTTCCATCAAATAATTGATTGGAACACATCCTACATTTCTTAACCAAGCTTCAATATATGAAATACCAATGACAATATTAGCTCTAATACCTTGTTCAGTAATCTTAGCATCATCGACATATGGAGATAACAAATCACGTTGAGTGATCTTCTTGTATGGTTGTCTTGGTGGTAAATCAATTTGATTAGGTCCCTTCATGTGTTCATTGAAAACCTTCAAAACAACAGGAACTAAAGCAGGATGAGCAACCCAACAAGAATCACAACCAGCTTCAACTTCTCTTAATTTATCCTTGGCAACATTTTCCAAAGCCTTTCTGTTTCTTTCTGGATCATCCTTAATTGGAATTTGAGCAGCCATACCACCCAAAGCATGAACCTTTCTCTTGTGAGTAGTATGAACTAATAATTTAACATAAGAAGCCATAAATGGAGATGCCATGGTAACTTGAGATCTATCAGGTAAAATGAATTCCTTATGGTTTCTTAAAGATTTAATATAAGAAAAGATATAATCCCATCTACCACAGTTTAATCCAGCAATATGTTGTCTTAATTGATAAATTATTTCATCCATTTGGAAAGCAGCTGGTAAGGTTTCAATTAAAACAGAAGCTCTAATAGTACCTCTTGGTAAACCAATATAATTTTGAGCATGGTTGAAAATATCATTCCATAATTTAGCTTCTAAATGATGTTCCATCTTTGGTAAATAAAAGTATGGACCAAAACCTCTAGCTAAAGCTTCTTTTGCATTATGGAAGAAATAAATAGCAAAATCAAAAATACCACCAGAAATTGGTTGTCCATCAACTAAAACATGCTTTTCAGTTAAATGCCAACCTCTTGGTCTAACAATCAAAGTTGGAATATGTCTACCAGCATCCAAGTTTAATGCGTAATTCTTACCATTAATAGTAGCAGTTAAATTTCTTCTAACAGCATCATAAAGATTAACTTGACCATCAACTAAATTATTCCAAGCAGGGGTTAAGGAATCTTCAAAATCTGCCATATAAGTAGCAACACCAGAATTTAAGGCGTTAATAACCATCTTACGATCAGTTGGACCGGTGATTTCAACTCTTCTATCTTCTAAACCAGGAGCCAATGGTGGACCAGTCCAAGTTGGATCATCTCTGATATAAGCAGTTTCAGGTAAGAAATCTGGTAAATTACCTTGATCTCTTAATTTTTGTTGTTCCTTTCTATTGGCTAATAATTGTTGTCTAGTTGATTCGAAAGCACGATGTAAAGTAGCAACTAACGCTAATGCTTCTGGAGTATAAATATGTTTAGCATTTTCTGGGATTGGACCTAAGATTTGGACACCTTGAACCTTTTCGGCGATCTTTGGGAATGGAGAAGACATGATGGTTGATAAATTACAATGATTGATTGATTGAAAGAAGGAAGAAAAGAGAGAAAAAGTTTAAGAAAAATCTTAAAACAGGGAGATTTAAGAGTTTATTTATACTCCGGGGTTTTTTTTCAATTTTTACAACATGTTTGATTGAACCAGAATATTTTGCAAACGCTCGGAACGGAGAAACAAAACGAGACATTTTTTTGGTAGAAGATGACTGGTACCCCAGATTCAGACAGACAAAAAGTAAAAAAATAAATGTCGTTATCCATTATATGCAAGAAATCGCTTGAGTGGAACCCAGAATTTTGACTCTGTTCATTGTATTTTTGTTTGTACACCCCCTTACTTTCTTCTACTCCAGAAAAAAAATACATGTGACTCAAGTAAGACATTTTCTCTCCGAGCATCGGTTCCGTTCAATTACATCCATACTGCAATACTAATCCCCTTAGTCAGATGATTCAAGAACGATTATTTTTTTCCAATAGAACTTTAAATTTAAGAAAAACTTCCGCGGTTACATGTTCACACATACATACAATTTTCTCATCTATTAAATAACTTTTAAACATTGAAATTTAAGACAAAATGTCGTCTTCGGTCCGATTAAATTAATTCTGATCCAATCAGAATCTTTAAATTGTCAAGTTTCTTTATTTCGAAGAATGTTCTACTAAATGTTGTTTTTACTATCTATTTGAATTACGATCTGAACCATTTGAATCTTGATTTGCTTTAATGCATTTGCGAATGTCGTCGGTGGGAATGGGTTACCGATACTATTGTTAACTTATGAATGATCATTTAGAAAAGTTTATCATGGGCTCCGGTGCTCCGTATTTTGACTCATTTAAACCGGGAATCTAAAGTCCAAAATATCCTAACCATTCTGTGCCACTAGTGACACCCCATACTTTTTGAAAAACCTGAAAAAATATTATTATCAAAAGAAGAAATCAAAAAAACAAACTCCGAGGCTAATCTACAATAGCGTTATCTTACCACATTTCATTTGATTTCTTTTTTTTTTTTCCACTCGTACGGTAGATCACTCCGTCTGCCCCTATACAAAATTACAAGAAGTCAATTTTAAATTTCTTTACAAAGTGATAACAAGAGTAAAGAAGAAGATGATGTCACTCTAAGTTACATGCAGGAATTGACACGCTAAGTTATTCTGATAGGTTTATCAAATGTCTCTATTACACTCATAAAGAATTTATATATAAAAGCATTGTAATCTACGATTCTCTCTATCTAAAATCTTCTTCCAAAAACGAAAAATCAAAACTGACGTTTTTAATAAAAGTTTTCATATGGTTTAGCCCATTGAGTACCTTCTTTTACTGGAGCTAATAAACCCTTTTGTTTTGGAATATATTCAACTCTTCTATAAGAGTTCAAATTCTTTCTTAAAACAAATTGATAACAAGTAGCAGTACCATTTCTACTAGCAATAGTAGAACAAGCTAAGAAATATTCCCAAATTCTATACCATTTAGCACCATATTTGTTAACAACCTTATCCTTGTTACCTAACCAATTTCTATACCATCTCCATAAAGTAGCAGAATAATGAACACCAATATTATCAACACTAACAATTTCAAATCCAACAGATTCTAAACAAGATGCAACAAATGATAATGGAGTTGAAGCATCTGCACCGGGGAAAATATATTTATTCATAAATAAACCCCAGATTAAATCTTCATATTGCCAATTCTTTCTTAATCCAGCATATTGTAAGTAGAATAATCCATCATCTTCTAAAGAATCTCTAACTTGTTCTAAGAAAGCAGTGAATCTTCTAATACCAACATGTTCAGCCATTTCTAAACAAGTAATCTTGTCATATTTACCATTTGCCTTTTCGGATTTTGGAGCATCACGATAATCAACACAAACAACACGAGATTGATCAGAATCAACACCATAATCGTTTAATAAAGTATTACCCCATTTAGTTTGGTTTTTACCCAAGGTAATACCAGTAACTTTAGCCCCATATTGAGAAGAGGCATAAGTAGCCCAAGTACCCCAACCACAACCTAAATCTAAAACATGTTCACCTTCTTTCAAGTCAATCTTATCAGCAACAATCTTTAATTTATTGTCTTGTAATTCTTCTAAAGTTTCTTCCTTGGTAATGTCACTAATAACACCAGAAGTATAAATCATTCTTGGACCTAAGAACCAAGTGTAGAAGTCATCACCACGGTCATAATGTTCTCTAACTTGTTCCTCATCTTGAGATTTGGAATGCATAATTACTTCAGGGATCATACCTAATAAAAAGAATCTAAATAAAGCAAAAGTGAATTGGAAAGTACACCAATCATGTTTATATTCTAAAACATCTAAACAATCACCTTTAAAACTAACTTTACCTTCAAAGAATAAATCTTCAAAAGTTTCAAGAGGAATTTTCTTTCCTTTACCATTATTTGAAGTTTCATATTTAGCTTTTAATTCTTCAGTATGGAATTCTAAATAATCAGAAATTGGACGATTTGGATATTTAACTTTTTCATTAATTCTTGGGGAGAAAGTAGACATAATTGACCAATAAGCCACTAAGATTGGAACAGCAAATAAAACAACTAAAAAGATCCAAGTCTTGAATCCTAAACCAATCTTACGAACAATATAACCTGGTACAAGAGTAATCAACCCAATTAACACGATATTGGAAAAGGAAGTAGACCCTGGACCATCAGCTGGTAATGGAGCATTATGAATGGCTGGTGAAGAACTGGTTAAAACACCAGATTCATCAGTAGATGGTGGTGGTGGTTTAGTTTCTGGAGTTCTAATAAATTCAACAGTTTGTAACATATTCAATTGAACTTATTGAAAGATGTAAGTTGTTAGTAATTAGAAAATGAAAATTTATTCTTTTTTTTTAAAATGGATTTTGGAAAATTCGTTGATCGTCGACACTCGAGTGGGAACACAAATTAATTAATAAACAATGGGAAATTTATACAGTAGGTAAGAAAATTAAAATCAAGGATGGGTCTTTTACTAAATTAAGTTTCACAAAAATTGAAATTTTCATTTTTTAAATTTAAAATAGTTTAAATAATAAATTGTGACACGTTAACTTTGTTTGTGAAATGCTACATGTATTAACTTGATATTGTACTGTATTATTAAACCTCGAGGAATTTTGATACGCGTGTTATTTTTACACTTGATGAGCAACGCAAAAAAAAACTTTACAAATTGGCTTCGTCATTTTGCACCACTTGAATATTCTATTTCACACAAAACCTCCTTAACGTATACGTATCATCGTCATCACCTCAATCTGTATCACGCCTCACAGGGCGGAAGTCTAATTATAACTATTAGCACTGCCCCCTTATTTTTGAGTATTTAAGTTTAAGTTACTTATTATAGTTTCACCCATTCATTAATTGTGGTTTCGCCAATTTCTGTCAAACTGTACGTATTGACACTTGCTGTTGGGTATAATTCATAATTTATCTCGTTAACTTAAAATTTTGACATTGACAAGTTTAATTCCTCGCAAAAAGCTGCCGTCGTATGAACAAGAATTTTCTTAAACTCATTTTGTGTTACTAGATGGCTCTATTTTTGTGTTGCAAAATGAAACAGGTTAGGGAAACGGCGCGGAATGTATATGCTGTATTTGAATCAATAAGTTCGCAACATTTCAAAGTTCATAAGTTAATTTATACCTTGTATGAGTCCAACCTAAGAAAATCAAATTAGCCATTTGCATTTTGAGATTGCACGTATTATCTGATTTCTTGACGGAAATGAAAAGTGTTCAATATGTATACTAAATTGTTTAGCATATAAATTAAAACCTCGGCTCCAGAAAAAAAGATTTGCAAATGTATTTATTTATCTTCTTTTTCGTAATCAACTTTTTGCAACCTAACTTCTTTTGAACTGAATCATTACTAAAAAAAATCAATCAATCGATTTAAAGTAGCAGTTCTTGAACCTTATTGTTCATTTTATATAGGTAAAGTTTTTAGGGTTCAATTCTGGGATTCGGCCTTTGTTTGGACTTTTCCGGAAAATCTTATAAAGTTAGCATTTCTAAGGAAGTTACGTACTATTCTGTTAAAGGTGGCATTACGTGGTTGTCAATTTATGAGTTTCTGGGACTCCACACAATAGCTAAGCTACAGGAACGTATATTAAAAAGTTTAGCAGTGTCGTGCATAGCTTCCTCGGATCTATTACACAAATATATGCAAATGACAATCCAATCAAACTCATTTAAGATAGGCCAATAATTTCATTCTTTTGTTTCCAGTGACAATCTGGAAGGATAGCTTTCTTTGAAACACCTTAAATCAAGCCTGGATAGCACTGGATCCATGTTCTTTTACCTGGTCCACAAATGGTATGAAGTATTTGCAACCTCTTTGAGATTTTGCTTACAAACCAAATTAACCGTGTGTGGTGTTAACAATTTAGCCGAAATTGGAATCAACTAATTTCAGGCTCGTATATGATGGAAGCTTCATCTAAAGAAGTGTTTGATACGAATTCTACAGCTCTTTCTTTAATGGACCCATCCTGTAGGAAGATGTATATCTTAATCGGGTGGCTTCTGTATAGGCATTCATGGAAATAAAGTTATAATGCTTATCTACTAGTCTACATACAGGGGCAAAATATTCCCATTTATATTATTGCTTTAATAGTAGGGGACTAGTAGCTTGTTGGAGATAATACTTTACTGTTCCAAGGAAGTTTTGCAACAAATTGGGCAAAATGGGTTAACACACGACCATTTTTTTAGAAGTCATTTGTGGTAAAGAAAAGACGCAACCAAAAACAACGAGCTCTTATAAGAACGTGTTTAATGATCAAATAATAATTGAATCAATCTCCATTAGCATTTATAATTTGTTGAAAGTAGTTGTAATTGTGAATAGTGATATTTATACTTGCACTATATCCTCCAATTTTTAATACCAAACACTTTATCCTTATCTTTCCATTAATTATCAAAGGTAATGCCACAAAGTGAAAATGATATCATTCTTATCGATTCTGACTCAGAAGTTTCCGATCCCGAACTGCCACCACTGAAAAGACATAAGCCATATCTGTACAATAACGACAATGATAATAATAGCAACAAAAATAACACAATAAATACCAAGAAATTAAGTATCACGCCATTCCAAGATGATTCATCCTCCTCCTCTGAAGATGAGCATCCCACTCTAGTCAAGAAACAAGCCCAAGTACAACAATTCCCAAGTAATCGTTTGAAAGAACACTATTATCATGATGAAATAGATGAGGAAGTGGAATTGTTATCTATGCAATCATCCCGAGCTCCTCCCAAACCCGTCGAAATCACCAATATCAGTAGTGATGACGACGACGAAGAAGGGGATGGAGAAGATAACGAAGAGGATGACGACGATGACAATCATAGTGATTCCTCAATTGAATCTTCTGATTCTGATTTTCGACAAATTTCATTTTCAGGTTCAGCATCACCTGAAACCATTGCACAAACCAGGAAATATCTAAAGACATATGGAAATATTAAATTTTTAGAAAAGTATTTACCGACAGCTGCATCATCTGAAGATATAATTAAGTTAATTATCATGTTAGGATTCATGCCTAGACATTTACATACATCCGGTATTATGGATTTGATCAATATTTTAAATCGGGCCATGATTAAAGTAAAAGCCATACGAAGTCGCTTGGACGACGTTAAGACTGTAGATGATGCAATTGGTTTAATAGAAAAGAGTAAGAAGATATTGGTTATTACTGGTGCTGGGATTTCTACTAGTTTGGGTATACCTGATTTTAGATCTTCACAAGGGTTTTATACAATGGTTCAACATTTAGGTTTAAGTGATCCTCAAGAAGTTTTCGATTTGGAAATTTTTCATACTGATCCTTCATTATTTTATTCAATTGCATATATGATCCTTCCGCCGGAAAGAATTTGTAGTCCATTACATTCATTTATCCTGCTTCTTCAATCAAAGGGGAAATTATTAAGAAACTATACTCAAAACATTGACAATTTAGAAAGTTATGCAGGTATAAAGCCTGATAAATTAATTCAATGTCATGGTTCATTCGCAACTGCAACTTGCGTAACATGTCGTTTACAAATACCTGGAGAAAAGATATTCCCCCAAATCAGAGCCAAACAAATACCATATTGTCCACAATGTGCCAAAGTTAAAAGGTCCAAATTGAAACAGGATGATGATTATTATTTCTCGGAAAGTTTTGGAGTTTTCAAACCTGATATTACATTTTTTGGAGAATCATTACCGAAATTATTCCATGATAGAATAGTTGAAGATATTATGGATTGTGATTTATTAATCAGTATAGGAACTTCTTTAAAAGTTGCACCTGTTGCTGATATTGTGGATAAGATACCCGAACATGTACCCCAAATATTAATTAATAAGGACCCTATAGAACATTGTAATTTTGACGTTAGTTTGCTTGGATATTGTGATGATGTAGCAAGTTATATTCTGAATAGATTAGGTGAGGATTGGAGACTTCCTCATAAAGATTATGAATCAATTAGAGGTTATAAAGGAAGTAATTTAGAGATTATGTTGGAGGATGAGCATTTGAGAGAATATCAAATTATTAATAAAGCAAAAGCTTCTAGTGATCTTGAAAGTGGTAGTGGGTCAGTGCTAACTGTGGAAAATACTCCGTTGTATGAAGACCCACCACTGACTGCGGAGGTCAATACTCCTCCACCTGCTGAGGTGATTGACAATTCTAAAGAGAAAGACAATAACTCAACCTAATTATAGTTTATATATTGTATATTAGAATCTGGATTCTTGACAATGAATGTATTTTTAACAAGTAGCATTAACTAGTGTATCATTACATCAATCGTCTCTCATCATTCATTCGCAACCAAAAAATTTTAGAAGCGAAAAAATAATCTTGCATAACATTAATTTTTTTTTTTCAACTCATCTGCCAACTCCCCATCATCACCATCATCTCATCATCATCAGCAACATAAATGAAATTACCATATCAAGTGCTATTCAGATGTGCTCAAACATCTGGTCGTATTATACTTAGGAGTCAAATACCCAACGCCAGAAATGGAATAGTGTACACTACAAGATTTAACAGTTCCAATCCGAGCAGCAATAAGGAGAAGCTTCCAGATATGGATGATCTTGAATTCATACAAGAGAGAAAAGAAGTGCATAAGCATTTAATCAACGAGAAGGAAGATATGGGTCCTATGTTGGATGATTTGGATGAAGCATGGGATACGACCATAATAAAAAATAACAAGAATAACGACGACTTGGATATATTAGAATCAATGTTGAAGAATTCCTTGAACAAGAATGGTCTGGACAATGATGCGAATGTGTCGTCATCGTCCCAACAAGCTAATGCACCAGGGGAACCTCAAGATACTATCGATTCCCAATGGAGTTTCCTTCATGACGTGATGGCCAAACCAGAAGAGTCTAAAGATGTGTCTAACAACAATACTGAAACCCCTGGCAGTTGGCCAAAATGGTCCGATGAAAATGAATTTTCCGACAAAGCTGGAAAAGAAGCTTCTAGTCTTCATGAAAATAATCATTATCGAAGCCGTAATGATTCTGAAGTTGATGAAGAAACAAGTGGTTATTCTGCTGTTGACACAATCACGGATCGTGAGGGAAATAAATTTGACCCCGCAAAAAGTGATAAAATTCTTTCACAATTGAGAGATCGATTAGACATCACCACTAGGGATTCTGTCAAGGCGGAGAAAGATTTGACTTCGTTTATTGATACGGTTTGGAAAAGGTCTACTTGGTTTAACATGTCACCTTCTCATCAACAGGATCCAACAAAATTTACACCGGAGAGATTTAGGAATGATTTCCATCGAGAAGTTAAAGAAGCATTGAAACCTTCGTTTGAAGCTATTGATGCGTTAAAATCGCCACAAGAAGTTTATGGGTTTATCACTAGATATCTTTCTGGTTTAAGTGAAATAATAAAAACCGCCAAGGCAAAGGAGCAACACAAAAGAGTAACTTTAAATGATTTGCACAAGGAAACTGGTTGGACAGACTCTAACAAGGATGTAATCAAGGATATTGCTGAATCATCTGAAAAATGTCCAGAGGCTCCAATTGGTAATGCCGTGACTTCACGTTTCCTTCTTAATTATGTATTGAAAACATTGACATTCAAATTTAATAATCCGGCATTGTCCTTAAGTATAGTTAGGATGATGAAGAAGGATGCCGACTTATACATTTTGTCATGTAATCAAGAAACCTTCAATGAAGTTCTTCGTGCCACTTGGTTGTATTACGGATATGTGGATTTATATGAATTTGAAAAAGCATTTGTTGAAATGAGATTACTTGGACATAGAGGAAATAGGGAGACATGCGATATACTTGGTGTTGTTGTCAATGAATTACAGAACTTGAGCGATGGTGTCCTGCCGATAAACAAGTATACCAGAATACGTACTGTTAATAGTGCTAAACGTCTTGCATTCTTCAGAGGTTTTTATGAAGATTTGCATTTTCGTGTAACATCACAAAGAATCAACCCGGAGCTATTTTAATCTATAAGAAGAATCCACCAAATACAACTTTAAGATACTAAACTACTTTGATCTGAGTAGTTAGAATTGATAGACATTTTTGATAATCATTTGTAAATAGTATTAATAAATTCAAATTGTAAGTAAAATTTTTGCACCCAAAATGTGACAATTGTACACGACCTCATTTTATTTTTAGTCGCAGTGCACACCTTCTTTCCTTCCTAACCAACCCACAGTTACTGTAATTACCAGCCATCCCATTTTTAAATGCGAATTTACAATTCCGTCTTTTACTATACAAACTTTTCTATTTAATAATAACACTTAAACTACAACTACAAAACCAACAATGTCACAATTTGGAGGATTCAAGGAATCATTTTTAAAGTCACAATCAGATTCTGTAAATAATTCAGATACAATTCTGGGAGTATCGGATTCTTTAACCCCACCTTCTACTTCAGATATCTCAAAACAAACATTACCAAGTATAAACATAAGCCAAGACCAACAACAATCACATGGGAATAGTAACCTAGAGAACTTATTAACTAGTTCACTGGATATTAAAAAACAATTATCACAATCATTCCAAGGTGGAATTGGAGGGGGGAATATAAGTGGTATTTCCAGGAGTGGGATAAGTAAACCCCATTCAAGACGGAATTCTACTGTGATTAAATCTCAAGGACATAGTGATAATGAAGACGATGGAGATGAGAAATTGGGAGAAGGGAATGAAAGGAAAAGAAGAGATAATATAAATGAAAAGATTCAAGAATTGTTAACCTTAATCCCTCTGGAATTTTTCCAAGATGCAAATGCGAAAGAAGCAGGAGGAAGTGGAACGTTTAGTAAGGAAGGTAGTGCTGCTAGTATGGGAGATAAACTGGGTGGAGAGGATGAGAATGGGAAAGCTACTGGAACTAAGGATGGAAAACCGAATAAGGGGCAGATTTTAACTAAATCTGTTGAATATTTACAATATTTACAGAATTTGATTGATGAGAATAATAGAAAAGAAGTTGAATTGATTATGAAATTAAAGACTTTGGAATTGAAAAGAAATAATCGTTCACCTGATGTGCCTATTCGAATTGGATATACTAGTGCAGAAAAGGCATTAGGGGAGATTGGAGTTGGACCTTGTTCAGAAGAATACTTCAGAAATGTATTAATAAATAGTGCCAATACTTCCAAGACATCGAGAAGAGGAAGCACATAAGTCGAGATTCTATAAACGTGTATTTTTATATAATTATATGACAGTATGAATTAATTTAATTAACTTTTATCTTTTTTATTGTCTACCTAATCTTTCTCGTTCATCGGCTTCTTCAGTCAACATATAAGCTGGTAAATAGTCATCCTCGCTTTCTCCAATTTGTAAAAATGGATTTGGTACAGTTGTATGAATTCCTCCAAGACTGGTAAAACCTTGATCATACATTGGACAATATTCAATATCACAACCAATTAAGAAATCCCAAACATCAATATAATTCCAATGTAAAATAGGATGGATCCTTAAGAAATCAGGCCAATTATGATCAGTTTTTTGTTCATATTGTAAATCTTGACCATATGGATCAGTATATCTGATACCAACCACGACAGATTTAACATTTGGATTAACTTTTTTAAGATAATATTCAAAACCATCTTTTAAATTAGATTTAATGATTATTGGATTCAAATGATAGAATTCAGTTGATTCATGGATAAAGTCAGTTAATTCTGGAAATGGAGTTTCAGCATTAATATAAATTGAATCTAATTTATAATCAGCAGGTAATAAATTAAATGAAGGATTTTCTAAAGGTGAAGATGAAAACATTTTATGAATAGTAGCGAGTAATAATACCAACATCACAAGACAATCTTTACCACCATTATAAGATATAGCAATTTCTTCAAGTCTAAAACTTAACATGTTAGTAAGTAGAGTGTCTTATTATTTAACGAGGGGCCAATCGTCAGTGTTACATACCCATGTAGATCTATTGATTCTTCTATCTTTTCCATACTTAAAAGAACTTTCTCTTTTACTCTTTCTCTTAATTCTGGATCAAATACAAACCCAGTTCGTCTAGCTGCTATTGGATACCATGGTAATGAATCATTCAAATATCCGTCTACTAAATTATAAGCTTCTTCACATTTTTGTAGAAAGATATGTTGTTGATCTCTTGTTTCTTGATTCACTTGGGTGTGCATTTGAAGGAGAATGGAGAATATAAAGGTTAGGGTGAGGAGATGCAAAATGTTGTTTGATTTCGTGGGGGAATGATGTTCTTCTATGTGGCGCTTTTAATGATAGTCCGCCAAAGACTGAAAATTTTCTGGGGGGCTAGACAGCGAAACTCAACACACTCAACACAGCAGGAAATAAAAAAGCCGTTGACGGAATTGTCCCAAAAATGCGCACCAATACGGTGTACGATGATTTACGGATATACAATTAAATATACTAGAAGTCTACTTATACATAAATTGTATAAAGAGTTCTTTTGTATCTCGATCCCAATACCACCAATAAGTATCTGACATTGAAGTATTATCTTGTGGTTTATCTATTTCTTTAGTATTGGGTATTACCACGGCAATATTATCATATGGTTCTGCTGACACCACTAAGTATTGATAATCATTAGCTTCTAACTCTTCGTCATCTTCTTCTGCCTGTTTCACCTTTTCAATGAAATTCATACAAGTTATTTGATTCTTGGAAGTTAATTCATAATATGACATGATTCTAAAGAATGGTTCTTCAACTCCAATTTTTGGTAATTTTACGTTGATTAATAATCCTACTTTTAAACTATCAGGATCTCGAATCTTCGTTAATTTAAATTGAGGTTTCCCAATCTTTTTCCAACTTCTCTTTTCAACATTATTGATACTTGTTAATGACGATATTTTATCTTGTAATTGATGAAGATTTCTTTGATTATATTTCTCATCCAATATTCTTCTTCTTTCTAAATTTAATTGATGCTTACGGCCACCTAGATGTGATATATAAGATGATTCACTTACATGAGTAGTTAAACATAATTTACATTCAAGAAATCCTAAATGATTTCTAAATACATATGGATCATTATCTAAATCAAGTACATGAGTTGCTAATAAATCTTGAATTCTCTTTTTGGTATGGACGTTGGTTTCTTCTGTACCTGCAATAGCACCTGCTCCTTTCTTGGCATTAACTCTATCTGAATAATCCATGATGATCTGTGTATAAAACTATCTCTATAGATTCAATTCTACAATGAAGTAAGGCATCTCGGTTTTCTACAGGTTAGAGGCACTTTTGTGGGTTATAAACCTTTTTTGCCAGGTTAGACCAGTTAACTCTGTTTTACAGTTTAGACGTGTCACTTTTGAAATTTTGGTTAATACACACTCACCAGTTATTTTTTTCTACTTAATTACACACATTCAATGGGAAAAGCTGAGACCTCTTTATTTCTTCGCTCTCACTACACTCCGTAATATACCAAAGCAGTAGCAGCGGCATTCTTAACAAATCTTCCATTATAATCCTTGGCTTCCCATTCATCAACTGAAGAGCCATAATAACGTAATAACGTTTACCTACTTGCTAACTGCTATATAAGAAGCTAGAACATTTGATAGACATTTCCAGGGAATTGAAAGTTCCAACCTAAAAAAGAAAACATACGCGTTTGTTCAACAAAGATGGATTCTCCTATCAATATTGGGGACATCACTGCTAATTCCATACTGCATCGACTTCATGATACTCATTTAAATACTCGTTGTATTTCCACTGTCAATTCAGCAATATATTCAGGACAAAAATTTATTCAATTATCAATCAAATTTGATAATTCAAAACCTCCTTCAGATAATGAAATTATTATATTACGTAAAGTACAAGATTCATTTATAAACATTAGTCAATTATTAAGTATTTTAATTCATTTGAAACATTTGACCACTCAACAATTAGAAACATTTTTAAATAATGAAATATTAACAAATGGTGAATATAATAGTTCAACTGCAATTCCTCAAGTAATTGATTTACGGAACAAGAAAGATTTTAATCCTCAATTAAGAGGAATTTGGATCTCGTATGATAAAGCAGTTAATTTAGCTTTGAAATTTGATATTTATGAATTTACTAAAAAGATGTTTTTAATTGATGTACATGATTTTGATAATTTACCTAAAGCTACCAAGAGGTTACACGAGGAGGGGGATGATAAAGAAGAAGAGCAAGATAATCGGATGTCTAATACAAGTATAACAGGCTCACCGGCAAAGAGACAAAAGCTAAATAAAGATATCAAGAAAGAAGAACCAAAACAAGAAGAACAACAATCATCACCAAAAGAATCATTACAACATATCTCAATAATCAATAAATTAATTGGAAAGAATGAAAACTATCCTTTCACATTACCTCCAATAATGGCCAATGATGATAATGCAGAAATTGCAAACCAAATAAGATTCAAATTAGGTGAAATTTTCAAACAAGACGATGAAGGTTCATTAACTTTTCAAGATATAAAATCGGCATTAGAACCAATTCTAGAAAGATATCCCCTTGAAACGATTTGTGATGTTCCCTTAGATCAAAAGAAACAAACAGCATTACATTTTGCTTCAACTTTAGCTTCGTTGAATTTAGTATCGGCTTTCATCACTCTTGGGTTAAATTCTCCAATTAGAGGTAATATTAACGGAGAATCTCCTTTGATATGTACTATTCAAGTAACTAATTCAATGGAAAAGGGGAATTTTCAAGATTTGTTAGTGAATTGGTTATATCTTGATATTTGGTTATTAGATAATAAAAAATGGTCAATATTACATCATTTAGCTTCACAATCAAAATTAAAATTTGAAAGTTCAAAATTCTATATGACCAAGATTATTGAATATATTATTGGAAATGATAGATTATTGTATGATTTACGAGAAAATTTAATTAATTATCAGGATGATGAAGATGGAAACACGGCATTACATATTGCGATTGAACTGGAATCGAAATGGTTTATTAAGATTTTGATTGATTTAGGAGCGGATATTAATTTAGCTAATAAACGAGATGTTAAACTGATTGATTTCGAAATTGTTAAGGATTTAATTGGGAATGAAACTGGCGAGGAGTTTGAAAATGAACATATTTTTGAATTAATTAAAACTGGAGTTGAATTTTTAACAAAGAGACTTGAGATTAATGGAACAATTTCCGAGATTGAAGAACCTAAACCAGTGGAACAGGTTGCTGTTATACAAGAGGATCAACAAGAAGAAACGACTGGTTCTTCCTCCACCAAGATCTTTCAAAGTATTCAACAATTATTATCCAATACAAATACAGAATATGAAAATATTTTAAATTCCAAACGGGAACAAATCAAAAATCTTGATAAATCATTACATGATACAACTATTCTGACTGCAAATAACCGATTTGTGGCCAAGAAAATATCAGAAAAACTCGGACAATTGGATAATTTGAAATTACAAATTGCAAATATAACTGATAAATTAGCATTTGCCAAACAAGAATTAAAAGATGTTACGGAAACAAGTAATGGTGGAGTGTTGGATGAATTGGATGAGAATAAAGAATATGATGCCGATGAGCCATTTTTGATACAACCAATATATGAAAGACTTGTGAAAGGGGAATCAGTTGATGATTTAAAGAATGATCAAGCGATTTTAAGTCAATTACAGCCAAAACCAATCTTAAAAGCTAGAATAGATGCATATAAACAAATTAATGAAAGTTTGGAAAAGGAATTGAATACATTATTGGATTATAGTGAATTGACATCTAAATTTAAGAAAGTTGTGAGTATATGTACTGGAGTTGATATAAATGAAGTTGATGAATTATTAGACGGTTTACTTGAAGCAGTTGAAGGACAACAATAGAGAGAAAGAGATGGATATTTGTTTTGTTATGTTTTTGTAGTAGTAGTTAATCTCTTGACAATATATGTTGTAATTTTATTAATTATTGTATTAAAGAACTAATATACAAAGGATGAAATAAGAACTGGTCACACCAATCCACTATAAGAATTCAATGCATTTAATATGGAAGGATCTAATTTACTTAACTTTTTGAAATCTTGTAAATTTAACGTATCAACATCTTTATCTTTCCCTAGTAGTTTAAAGAACTTTTCAGTTCTATTTTCAGGAGTTCTTTCATCATCTGGTAAAGCAACCATTGGACCAATCATTTTATAAACAGCACTAATTATAGGTAATAAATCATTATAAGTTATACTACCAGTTTTCTTATAATCATATAATCTAAAACTCCAATTTATTTTCTGTTCTTCTGTACCTCTACTGGTTATACTTAATGCAATAATGAATTCTTTAAAATCGATATATTTTGAATTATCTAAATCAAATACTCGAAATAAATAATAACAATAATCAGTTGGATCACCAAATGGAAAGAATTGTTTATAAACTTTTACAAATTCTTCTTCTGATAATTGACCACTTGGACAATCTCTCATAAATCCTTTATACCATTGTTGTAATTCTCGTTTATCAAAATATGTTGCCAGTCGAAGTTGTTTTATTTCATCTTTAGTTAATTTGGATACTGCTTTCCCCATTGTCGGTTGGTAGGAATACTATAAATACCGGTAGGTTGGATGGTATCTACTATGTGTAGGGTATTAGATTAGATCAGATCAATAGGGTGGTCTTCTTAAGGTTTAGTGTAAATGGTGACAATAAACAGAAAGTTAGACAATATAAAATTTGAGCATAATACACGACTATCTAATATCGAGAGGCCCCGGGAATTTTTTCAATTTTTCATTACATCCTTTTAATCACCACCGGTGGCGGATACACAAGAAAGCAAGGAAGTAAGGAGTAATAATGATCAGAATAAACGTTAGTAAAAGATCTTTTTCAAATACATCTAAAGTATTAGCCAATCATGGTAAACCACAAAACCCACCTATTGATAATACAATCAGAATGAGAATTCAACCAATTATTAGAACAGGTGAAACAATTGATATTAAAAGAGCAAGATTAATTTATCAATCACGTAAAAGAGGAATATTAGAAAGTGATTTATTATTAAGTAGATTTGCTAAGAAATATTTGAATACTTTTAATGAAGAAGAATTGGATGAATATGATAAATTATTAGATGAAGCTGATTGGGATATTTATTATTGGGCTACTAAAAATTATTCAGTAACTCCATTACCTGATAAATGGAAACAATCTAAAATTTTAAAATTATTACAAGAATCAGCTGAAAATAAGGAGAAAGAGATTTTAAGAATGCCAGAATTAGATTTAAAGAAGGAGAATTAACTTGGTTTAAACCCTGTCACTTGAAGTCTGTTGGCATCTCTATACTTTGTATATTTATTTATTGATTATTTATTCCTGTTATTATTTCCTTATATATAGTTTATTTCATATAAAAAAACAAGCATTTCGTATACAACTCTATCTACTCTTGGAATAGAAAAACGTCTATGAATACACCTAAAGGGGTTTCTCCATTCAAAGAGTCAGTCTTACTAGTGTATGGTCTCTCCTATTGGGATAGTTGATGGGATCAGTCTATTTTACATGTTAGAGTAAACATTTTGCAGGTTAGGTCCAAGTGACATCAGACCTCAATTTCATCCTTTTTTTTCTATAAGGCGAATTAAGTATGGGGGGACAGGACGGCAAGAAGAGTAAACCAACCAATAAAATGACAATTACACTTGAATCAATACCAGAAGAACTCAAAACAGATAAGCAGGTGACTCCATTCATCATCCGATCATTGGAATTATCTCAACCAAATCCAATAATTTCATATTATTGTAAGATTTATGTCCTTGAATATATTTTAGATAATAAATTACATACAAAATCAAAAGAAATTGAAACATTCACAATCTTGTTATTAGATGAGACTGAATCAATTAAGAAATCAACCGAAGATGAAGAATTACATAAAGTATTACAAAATCTGAATTTATCTATTCAGATTGTTATTTCATTTAGTTATAAATTATTCAATTCTTGTCTTGAGAATTTAAATAATTTAACCAGATCAACTAATAAAGATGCCTTGATTGGGAAATTTAGAGCTACTTTGAATTTCTTAAGTTTAGTTTCGGTATTTAAAGGTGCTGAAGGGATTGATTGGGGGAAATTAAGTGGTGGTAAGGCTGAAAATTGGCAAGATTTTGACGCATTGAATAAACAAAAGATTAAGGTTTTGAAATATCAATTATCAAGATTGATTAAAGGAGAGGTTGAATATAAAGGTGAGCCAAATGATCAAGAATTGGAAGATGAATTAAATAAAGAATTGGGAGAGATAACCGGTAAGGATACTGAAGTCGGCGTAGACGACATAGAAAATGAAGATGAGGATGAAACTAACAAGGGAGATGGTGATTATCATTCTGATCATGATGATGGCGATGACGGGGGATTTAAAATGCCAGGTGCTCCAAGCTCTGCTCCCGCAAATGATCTACCAAATTTCATCGATCTCGAGGATGAACCACCAAAACTTCCACAAACCCCTGATTTCGTTGATGAAAAAGAAGAAACCGATGTCAATTTACCAGGTGCCCCTCATTTTGCTCCTTCTGATTCCGAAAATGAAACTGATCTGGTGAAATTACCAGGTGCTCCAAAATATTTACCTGATGATGATATTACCCATATTAACAAAAGTTCTTCCATCCAGGTCTTCCCACCCGAGCATCACCAGTCACCTAGAGAGTCTAGGTCTAGTGGCCATCAACAGCGTTCTCCTCCTCCAGCAGTAAGACGTTCTTCAGCTTCGAGACATCCTCCAATTACAAAAGAAACAATCAAACAGATTTTAAATCGTGATGAAACAATTTCTCAAGTCCAAAAACATGCGAAATTTGCTCAATCTGCATTACAATTTGAAGATTTTGAAGAAGCGGAGAAACAATTGACAAAAGGGTTGGAATTGTTGCAAGTATTAAGAAAGCAAGAAGCAGAGGAAGATGAGAGATATAGATAAGTAACGTGTTTAGATATTTATGGGTGAATAAATACAGGATAGACCCTTCGAAAAGCGAATAGTGTTCTTAACTACTACACTCTTTAAAATGTGACCCATGATGTGATAGTGTAGGAACACGAGATCTGATTGGGAAATCTAGAGCTTGAATATTCACAAAAGACCCAATTGAGAAAGCACCTGTTTTACTTGAACTTTTGTAAGTATTCTAGTTCTAAATTTCCCAAATAGACCCGTGTGTATTGACACTACTAAACAAACTCTCGGCTGATTTAAAGTTTGGATATGACACTTGCTCATAACCCGGTTTAGAAAGTGAATTCATCTCTATTGGGAATGTGATAACCCCAAAAAAATCGATACTGTAGTATAATTTTGAAACAATTCGTATCAATCGTGTAATTCATGTGGCGGATTACTCAACTAGGTGTGGTTTATGACCTAGAGGTATAAATATGTATGCGTCAATTGTTTTCTTCCATTATTCATGTACCGAAAAGAGAGATTTGTTTATTGACGTCGGCTTAAATATTCATGCAAGATCTTAGCCCGATTGTGGAACTTTTTAATGGAATGGGGCTGTTTATTGTATTCACCTGCTAAACAATGCCCATATTAAAAAAATACGAACCGTGTCACACTAACTTGTAAATTATTTAGAAATAGTTCCTTGGCGTAGTACTTTTTACAGTTTAGATTTTAAAATCGTAAACAAAAACAATTTAAAGTTTTTTTTAGTTTTAATTTTAAATTTTCTTATTTTTTTTTACAACCAATTCATTCTCAAAGGGTTCTAAACCAAAGGACGTGTCTAAATGGGGTTTCCTATAGGCTGTTGGGATCAAATAGGCTCAAGAAGAGTCAATTGAGGCTATGTATTGCTGGTTGACAATGATGATCGGCTTATGAGGTTGCTGAACAAAGATAGGGGGGATTTCAAAACAAGAGTAAACTCCACAAAGTTGGTTTTGTGTTAGAATCGCCGATTAGATTCAAAGGGATTGCATAATGATTCCCGATTCGGTTACTAATTTCCACAATAAGAGATTGACATTCTACATTGTATTTTCAATTCGTCGGTGCTGCAAATCATGAGAGTGAATCTACAGAAATTGCCTAAAAGTTGCCTAAAAGTTGAACGAATCTTCGTTCATATGAACAGAGAAGGGGAACATACCCCAGCATAGAAGGGTGAAGAGCAATAGATAGAAAGCAAGTATAAGGAAAGGGTAACGCAATTGTATTGTAGGGAATGATGTGTAATTGGTAATGTTGCAGAAGAAAACAAAGAAAACAAAGAAGAAGGAGAAGAAGAAGAAACAAAGAAAGAAAGAAGAAAATTTTAAACTTTACAAAAAAAATAAACAAAATAAAAAAAATGTTAAGAAAGATTCTTATGAGAGATCGACTAACATCAATTAGCATTACACAAGAATTCGAGAATTTGATTTAAAACGTGTTTGAATTAATTAATTCGTCAACTTACAAACAGAATAATTTCATTACCTTTTTCATTATTTTTAATTCAACTGGAGTTCTGTTTAGCCAGAAATAAAAAGAGTAGGCAGGGTGTGGCTTTTCCTTCCAATAAATACTAAAAATAATCTTATTATAGATAAACATTTACGAGAGAGGACTAAACAAACAAATTGTGTCAATTGAAAAAGAGAGTTGTAGATTGGAGAATAAAAATTTGATCACTTTCACACGATCATCAATTTTTTTTTTTTTTAGGTTTTAAATTCCCCCATACCAACCACCAAACAAAACAAAAAAACTAAAAGAAGTTTAATCTATAAAAACCCCCCCCAGATCACTATCAACAAGAAGACTATTCAATCTATATACATTCATTCATAAAATCTATACAAAATGAACTCAGTAAGGAAGAGGTTTTCATCAAATCTGGCATCTTCCAAATTACAACCAGTATCTTCTCCGCGAATTCCGTCTGGGGCTGGAGATGTCAATGATTTAGAAGGGGTATCGCCAGAATTAGTTCCAATAGTAACATTATTATCATCCCAATCCCATCGTCGTTATCATGAAGGTATCTTTATGTTATATTATGATTTGAATGGTGATGGTAAACCAGCTGATCGTGAGTGGAATGAAGTATATGGGATCTTGACTGGTAATCAATTAGCTTATTGGGGTGCAGCAAATTTAGCACAATTTAAAGAAAATCCCGATGCTTTATTACAAACATCAGCAAAACCAAATTATATCAATTTCACTGATGCTGTTTATAATGCTATGAAATCTTTACCAGCTGCAAAACAAACTTTAGATAATGTCATAATTGTATCAACTACTTTAAAGAATAGATATATTTTACAATTTAAATCTCATAGTGATTTAACTGTATGGTATGCAGCTTTAAGATTATCCAATTTCGAATATTCATCTTTACAAGAAGCATATACTGGAGCACTTTTATCAGCTAGAGGATCACGATTATCAGATATTAAAACCATATTGGCAGAAAAGAGATTTGATCATGAAGATTGGGTAAGTATCAGATATGGAAGTGGAATGGCATGGAAAAGATGTTATGCAGTTGTAGAACCTTCAATCAGTAAAAAGAAAACATTTACAGCAGGAAGAATTTTATTATATGAAAATGAACAAAAGAAAAAGAAACAGTTAATGGCTGTTATAATAAATTGCACATCGGCAACGGCAATTTATCCTTCATCTCATTTATTAATTGATCATTCTACAATGTTGAAATTAGATGGTTATATAAATTTTAGTACTCCAAGTTTATCAACAAAAGTATCAAAATCTCATCTTGGTGATTTTAAACGGACATCAATCTTTTTAATGCCTGAACAACATTCTGCTGTTCCCGGGTTTGATACATTAATCAGGTTTTTAGTGCCCTTATTTGATTCATTTGGATTGTATGGTAGACCAAAGAGATTGAAAGCAAATAGAACCGATATGGAATCATTATTATTTGGATTACCAACATTACCAAGAGTTCATTATCTAGAATTGGAAGATATCAAACAAATGACAAATTCGAAAGAATCATTAAATTGGGATCTTAATGAATGGACAAAGAATATCAGATTATTATTAAAATCAAAATTGGATAGAGGTTATGAAGGTTGTGGAAGTAAACGAGGTAATGCTGCTGCATTGGGTGCATTAAACAGTCCTTTATCATCTCCTCAAATTATGTCAAGTCCAAAATTTTCCAGGTCTGGTTCTTTGGTTGAACAAAGACCACAGCCAAATTCATCCACTTCAAATCTTGCAAAGCCGCCAATGTCAGCTGCTCCAAGACAAGCTAATAGAGGATTCGATAGAAATGTTAACGATTTATCTATTGGAATTGGGAATCGTAGTGAACCTAATATTCCAATCGTTGTTACCTCTGCTGGTAATAACAGTGGAGGTGGTGTTTATCCTTCTACTCCACCTGCAAATTGGCTGCCTGCGCTGAATTTGGATGAAATCTATCAGAATTATTCAGATATACATACTCCTGATCGTGAAGCATTAGAGAGGTTGGAAAATGAAATGAGTGGATTGGATGTGAATAAAAACATTTACCCTAAGAATGATAATGATTTATTTAGTGATGATGATGATGAAGACGAGGTAGATGATGGGGAAGAAAAGATTGATATTAGGAGAATGGGTACTAGAATTCGTGAACGTTCTGAAACTGCATCCCCTGCACTTCGTAATGGTTTAACGGTACCTCCCCATTATGATGATAGGAGTGGTAGTTATTCATCAGTAATTTCTCCACTGGCACAATTTAGTGAACTTCAAAAGGCATATGCGAAAGTTGATCGACCACCTTATGAACTTCTCAGTAGTGATGAAGATTTAAATAATTCGCCACCACCTCCTGCTCCACCAGCACATGATCCTAAATTGTTAAATGTCATGAAGGAAAAAATCAATGATGTACCACAAGGAACTATGCAACCAGGAAGTACTACCCATAATTCAATTCATTCAGAATCAGGAAGGGTTAGTGAAGTTTCCGATAGTGATAATTCGTTTGAAAAAGGTGAAGAATCACTTGACGTGCCTTCTCTTCCACCCCCACAGAATAAACCAAGATTTATCGCGTCTCCAAATGCAACTCAGAATCGACAATTTTCCCCAGAGCCACAACAACCAGGATATCCGGTTTCTCCACTTGTTAAACCTCTTGGAGAGAATGCAAAACCGAACCTTCCATACCCTGCCGGTAATCCAAAGATTAAATCAAGGGATAATATAGATACTGGAGAAATTGCCACTGAGATCAGAGGTGGCCAAGGTTATCCACCACAACAACAACAACGAGCAATGGATAGACAAGGTTCTCCCGCAATGCAACCAAGACAAGTGAATCCAAATGTATATCCAGGAAATCAACCACCTCCACCATCTCAGGGAAAGCAACAGGGTTCCGGCCCAGGATATGGACAAGTTCCTCAAGCTCATCCACACCATTCTCCACACAAGCGTCCACCACCACCATCACAACAACAACAATATCCTCCGCAACAACATCAGCGTCCACCTCAAGGACAGCAACAACAGCAACGTCCACCTCAGGGAATGCCCCCACCACAACAACAACGTCCATCTCAGGGAATACCTCCACAACAACAACAACAATTCCGCGGTATGCCTCAATATCCGCCTCCTCAACAGCAACAATATAACCGTTCTCAACCACCACCTCAACAGAGACAGCAACCACCTCCACAACAGAGACAGCAACCACCTCCACAACAGAGACAGCAACCATCTCCACAACAAAGACAGCAACCACCACAGCAACAACAATATGGTCGTCCTCCACCTCAGCAACATCCTGGATCAGGTTATCAACAACAACAACAACCTCCACAACAACATCGTCCACCTCCACAACAATATCCAAGTCAGGGAAGTGGTGTTCCTCGAGGGATGGTTCCAAAAAGTGCTGCGCAGACTCTGATTAGGGTTAACCCATCAGATCTTAGGGGACAAGGGTCACAACAATATCAATATTACCCACAGCTGCAGCAACAACAACAGCAACAACTGAAGGGGCCATCACCTCCAGCACAGCAACAGCAACAGCAACAGCAGGGTCTGTTGGCTAATCCATATGGGCAATATAATGATGGAGGGGCTGTGAGAAGATATTAGTTGATGTCTTTGTATTTGTCGCGAGAGAAAGGGAGAGAGAGAATTGGGAATTTTTTTCAGAATATGTATGTTTTATTAGCTCTTTTATTTTTCTATAAATCAGTGTATGTAAGTTATTATTATTGTGTATTATTAAATATTTTTACTAAGATAACCTTTGTAAACACATTTTTGGTACTAGGCCAATCTCATTTGGTCTATATGGATTCATGTGAGCCGTCCGGATTACTTTAACAGTACACCAACTATCAGCGTGCTTTTTCAATAGTTCTACTTTATCACCTACGCTTATTGTTAATTCATCGTCGAGATTCTTGAGATATGGTCGGATAACAATATGGATATCTTTTGATACTTTTTTGGGGATTACATCCAATTCAGGTTCAATATCATCATCTTCATCATCATTCAGGTGGACTTGAAACTTTGGCAAAAGTTTAAAATTATTATTATTTTGACGTCTATCAGGAATAGACAAAGTTTGTGGTTTTATTTTCTCATGTCTCGTAAACCCAGCAATTCCAGCCATCAGATCCTGAGGAGAATTGGCGTCATCCTTATTATTCAATCTGAATGTCTTAAGAAATACAGGAGTACCCTCAGAAATTCGTTGCATGATTGGCGATTTCGGTTCTGGAGGATCATTAAATGGAGAATTATTATTTGCATAATAATCTCCAAATAATCCAGTCTTACTCAAACGATCTCTAAGCTTATACTTTATAGAATCGGGTTTTATCTGTCTTTCTGCCCCCGGTTTGATTGTGAGATTTTCATCCTGATTAGAATTGTACGGAAATGTGGGTCCTCCTTTTGTATCGATGAGAGTAGAGTCATCATTTCCGCTGTGGCTGTAGTCTGATTCATTGTCGGAATTGTTCTTTTTCTTGAGATTTCTGAGTCGGATAATATACCATACTGCAAGACCGAGGAAGAATGCTGAGAATAATGCAACGGGGATACCGATTGCAAGACCGGCGTTGACTGAGCTTTTGGATGAGGTTTGTTGGGTGTATATTTCTGTATTTCCGGTTTCTGTATTTGAGTTTTCTGCAGTATTGGTGGCGATTGGGTTTGTGTTTGTGTTTTGGGAGGTTGATGGGGTTGGGGTTGCTGTTGTTGATGTAGTGAATGTGATCGGGACTCTTGTAACTATGCTTGTAGTAAGAGTTTGTTCCAACCAAGATATGCTCAAGTTTTCATCTGATTTGGAGGTTTCGCTAGGTGGTAGAGTTGTAGTTGAAGTTAAAGTTAAGTAGACTGTTGTATCGTCATCATCATCATCTCTTGCTCTGAGACGTCTGTTTCTAATAGGAAGTGGCATTTTGTCTTTGATTCTTAGAAATAAGTTTCTTCCATAGGGTTCCAAGTTAAAATTAAAACCCTGAATAACGCTAAGTATTTATATTAATTTAATGAGTCACTCAGGATGATCATTTGCTTAAAAAGTGTTTTAGAATTGTAGTAGAATAGTTGTTTTAAGTAAGATTCAAATTTGCAATGTTAATTATTTTTTTTTGCAACAAAAAAATATTTTTTGCGCTTATAACCGAGACGTGTTTCAGGGTTGTATCATAATCAACTGATAGTTATTATCAACTCTATATTAAAATCTAATATGTAACACTTCTAACAAAATAACTAACTACACGCATCTATATGTTTAACGTGGTAATAATGACTCTGAAGAGCTTTCTTCGTCTAAAGGTTTTTCTGACTCGTCTGAAACAAGACTATTGAAATAACGATGATATGACCAAAATGCAAATCCTATTCCCATAATAGTCCCCATAATAATATCAACAAAATGATGTCTATAGTCTTGAGTTCTACTCAATGCAATGTAACTAGCTAATAATACAGGTAAACATGCTAATAAATATTTATGTAAATGTTGAGGTGTTGTATGTAATAATTTGAATTGACCAAATAACCAAAGGGTTAAATATAACAAGCCACTGAAACTTATTGATGAATGACCAGATGGAGTAGACCTCATACCATCAGTTAAGATTGCTTGGCCGAAAGGTGCCGTACATACGGATATGTCAACTAATTGATTGAATGTAGTACCAGGTTGTGGACCACATCTAGCTAAGAAATCTGGTCTTGGTCTAGCAATCCAATTTTTGAGTATATCTGTAAGTACTCCATTCACTATTAAGGAAACCAATAACCCTAATGTACTGATTTGTAAATGATGTAAAGTTTGATGGGCGGAAGTAAAAGTACCATCTTTAGATTTGATTAATGTAACAATGAAGATAGTCACTATTGGAATCATAGATGCTAATAGGATACATTCTACCCCAGTGACACGTTCTGTTAAGGCAAAGGGATGTGATATGGTTAAATCATTTAAGGAAAATTGACGCTCAAATGGTTTGGCATGTTCAGCAATGACAAAAAAGTATACAATCAAAACTAAAGTTATGATCCAGTCTGGTAAATAAGACTTAAAGGAATTACTCTTGACGTATTTGATCATAGCACTTGGTTGTAGGAACTGGACCATCTTTCTTTGGATGTGTAAACTTACTACTAAATATCGAAAGGGAGACTAATGGGGGGATTTCTCTTTAATTGTCTTCGTTCTTCGAGCAGTCTTGAGTCTTTCTTTTTTTTTGGACGCTTGACCAAAAGCGTGACAGATGTCCAAATTGGGAACAGAGAAATTTATACGACGTACAATATACGAGAAATGTGTTGTATAAGAACGCACACTCAAGAACACTTGATGATTGGAAGAATGAGTTTGATTTACACATAGCACCTCCAAAATCCCTGGCATTGCAAGAGTTCCATGGCTAAATTTCTCCTGTTTTTTTCTCATGTCGTACCTGTCCTAATGTTTTAAGAAAGAATTTGTTAATTTTGCAACCAATTTTTATCAAAATATTCAATCGACCCATTTTTGCAATAAATGCAAGCTTGAGAATAGCGAATTAAGAATTTCAATTCGATAAAACTTTAATAACGTCTATGAAAATCTACTATCTATGTTGCTTGATATTGTATGCCCTATTAATATACAAAACTACCAATACTATAACAAATATGCACATCCCAGAAGTAATCTGGAAAGTCAACTTATAACACCCTTCACCTTTACCACAAATATATTCCTCTCCATCCCAAATATTTGAATTCAGATCATATACATATCCAAAAATCTTTGTAATTAACAGAAGTCCAAAGGTGGTTGCAGAATAAGTTGCACCCCAAATTAAGGAATAATGCTTTAAATTGAAAATATCAGAAATGATAGCCGGATAACTAGCAAAACTAAATCCATATGAATAGCCAATTATACCTGATACAACCACCATATACAAATGAACTGAATGAAATTGCCAACTAGTAATATTGACAGTATTCAAAAGGTGTCCAATAAGCATCAATGTTAATCCTACAATGAGCACCCAATGTCTTTGACTATTGAGCCTATTAATCAAATAGTCGGAGATAGGTCCAGAACTTAATCTGCCTAAGAAGGAAGCAATAGCAATAACAGAGACATGCATTGCCTGTAAGTGAACTAATGAAGGAACTTCTTCCAGTCGATTCTGAAAGCTGTAATGTAATGCTTTTAAAATAAACCCAACGGAAAAGATATACATCTGACCCAACCCCTGAAGTATTGCAAACATAAAGTAATGATACCAAAATATTGGATGTATGAAAGTTTCTTTGACACCCTGGGTCCTGAGTGTACCTTTCTCTGATATCTCGCTTGCCAGTTCAAGCAGGACAGAATCTGCGAGAAGCGAAGTTGACTCATTAGGTTCTCCGCCCTGGGTTGTCTTTTCAGGAAGATCAATAAGACCTTCCACTCGAATAAACACAAATCCGATCGAGATCATCAATCCACTAAACCATGTCAAGAATTTAAGAAATGCCCCTGCATCACCTTTGTATATTTTCGTATCGATAATCAGAAATACTAAAGATGAGATAGCAAATGATGCAATAGTAATACTTTGAGCAGTAGCCTTCCTAGTGGGGAAGTTTACGGTCACGGCTTTAATAGCACTAAAATATCCCGAAACCGATCCAACACCGACTAAAAACATGGCAAAGATTAAACTCCAAACATTACTAGTTTCTCCAAGTTGATATTGCCAATACAACAACTGATATCCAATAGTAAGACAAATGCAACTAATTAACATTGGAATCTGAGTTCCATACAAATCGGTAATATATCCACCAAATATTGCTCCAACGGCACTACCAAAAGTAGTACTAATATTTAAATTTGCTGATTGCGATGCTTCTAAATGACATCTGTCAGATAACTGAGTTCCATAGATTGAATAGACGAAAATCGTTCCTGCGGAAATGGCAACTGGGATCGATGCCAAAAGGACAAACCAACGATTTGTTTCGGGGAGATAGTGATTGAGATCGTTGATCCGTCTATATAGAAAATGCATCGTTGGGTGGATATATTTGCATGTGCATTACAGAAGAAAAAGGTTTAATCGTTATCAAGTTTTTTTTTCATCTAACACGTTGGGAGGTTGTTTACTGTGGCTCATTTGATCTCATTAACGAAATCGTTATATTGTAATTAATACCACTAAAAATGGATCTCGAGGTTACAAAGTCAATATGCAGGAATATGGAAATCTCAACTGCAAATATTGAAGGTCGTGTGTGTGGTTCAAAACTTCTTAGTTCGACGAAATTTTTCATGGAGAATTTTTTTTCAGTTTCCTCAAGAAATTTGAACCACCCTTTTGGAATAAAACCTTTTCAGCTTGTTGACTCCCAATCACTATTTTAAGTACATATACATATCGCAATGCCAGTTGATCCAGAAAAGTTAGCTAAATTACAAAAGGCTTCTGCCAAGAAAGTCGGTGGTTCTAGAATCAAGGCTAAGAAGGTTATCAAGACTGAACAAGATGACACCAAATTGATTGAAGCTTTAGGTAAATTGAAAGCTACCAAGATCGAAGGTATTGAAGAAGCTAACTTCTTCAGAGATGACGGTAAGGTCTTACATTTCAACCGTGTTGGTGTCCAAGGTGCTCCAGCTTCTAACACCTTTGCTTTCACTGGTTACCCACAAGAAAAGAACATTACTCAATTAATTCCACAAATCTTACCTCAATTGGGTGCTGAAAACTTAGAAATCTTAAGACAATTAGCTGAACAAATCCAAGCTGGTAAGACTCCAAAGGGTTTTGATGCTGGTGCTGAAGCTGCCGCCGCCGATCAAGGTGCCGATATCCCAGACTTAGTTGAAGGTCAAAACTTTGATGACGTTGAATAGATTCTTTTGACATGATGAGACAGTTGCAGTATTTAATAGCAAAACGGAAATGATATACATTTTTTAATTCTAACGATTATTAACTGAATTTTGTAATAGAACGGAGTTTTCTTTTATTACTTAATAAACAAATCATGAACAACGACAGATTTGTTCTTCCTCTAGAGGCTGTAGAAACATTTTAAAAGCTCTATTTTGTGATCGTCTGAGACTCCTAATGAAACAGTATTTACATTGTAGTTTTGGTGTCAATTGTCGTTTCATATCTGGAACGACACTTACCGTCACGTGATGAACCGATTCAAAATTGGTCTGTTCCTAACTCTGTCTTGAATTGTTGCCAAATATACAGGCAACATGAATAGCATTCTATCCTCCCACAATCAATAAATAATACATCGGGGCCCCTAAACGATAAGCCTATTCTAAGCCATCATATAAACACAGTAATCCGAACAGGTTCCTTGGTATCGTCATGTCAAATTGTATGGATCAATCGGCCCGTTGAATTCTAACACGACCATTTGAGCAAGAACGTAATATCATGGAATGGACACCTTTGTGTCATAGCCAATTATCCTATTCTTTTTCGTAATCTTCAGATCAAGCTGGACTGATGCCCCCCAATCTCAAAAGACAGGAAATAAAAAGTAGTCTTGGGGCCACGTTTGATCATTATATTAAAATCTCGCATGTTATTGATCTTACCTGATCTAACATTAGATCTAGTAATACAATAAGAGAACACATGAACTAGCCATAATTAAACTATAAATAATTAGCAATTTCATTAAAAATTGGTAGCACAACGATAGACCCATGAGTCCGAAAAAAAACCTAGACCAGCAGCAACTTAAGGGGTAAACAAGGCAATTGTTGAAAATTTTGAAATTTCAAGGGGCTTCAGAAATTGCCTAGCCACCATGCATCCAATTGTCTGATCGCCAGCAACTACAAATTGTTCGAGGATTTTGCTAAGCTTTTTAATTCCCCACCTTCGCATGAATATTTCCAATATAAATACGGAGTGAACTTTCTCTTTTCAATTGATTTTTCACAACATTAAGAGGTTGCAAAATAATTAAACAGAGAACAAGATGGTATTAAGTAAACATATTGATGCATACAATTTAGAATATGAATTGTTAAAGAAACAACCAAAGATCAATTTAAGAAATACAGAAGCTTATATCGATGCATATGATGCTGCAAAAAACATTCCTCATTATGAAATTCCTGAAAATGCTGCTAATGGAGAATTGATTTATAAATATCTTTCCCAAGAATTATCATTAGATGGTGTTCCAACTTTAAATTTAGCTTCATTTGTTAATACTTATATTGGAGATGAATCATTAAAATTAATTACTGAGAATATTACTAAGAATTTGGCTGATAATGATGAATATCCTTCTCTTATTCAAATTCAAACCAGGTGTATTTCAATTTTATCTAATTTATGGAATGCGCCAGCTACGATTGAACCAGTTAGTGGGAGCAGAATCACCAATTCTGTAGGTACCGCAACCACCGGTTCCTCTGAAGCTATTATGTTAGCAGGATTGGCTTTGAAGAGAAGATGGCAAGAACGGAGAAGAGCAGAGGGGAAACCCACTGATTCTCCAAATATTATTATGGCAACATGTGCACAAGTTGCCCTTGAGAAATTTGCTCAATATTTTGACGTTGAAAATAGATTGGTTCCAGTCTGTGAATCTCTGGGTCATATGATTGATGTAACTAAAATTAAAGACAAGATTGATGAAAATACAATTGGGATTTTTGTTATTGTGGGTACTACTTTCACAGGAAGTTTTGAACCAGTTGAAGAAATCTCAAATCTTTTAGATCAAGTTCAAGATGAAACTGGATTAGATATTAGAATTCATGTTGATGGTGCAAGTGGTGCATTTGTTGCTCCATTTGCTTATCCTCATTTAAAATGGGATTTCCGTATTCCTCGAGTAGATTCAATTAATACTTCAGGACACAAATTTGGATTAACTACTTGTGGATTAGGTTGGGTTATTTGGAAAGATGCTGAATTGTTACCTAATTCATTAAAATTTAATCTTGATTATTTGGGAGGGGTTGAAGAAACCTTTGGATTGAATTTTTCTAGACCTGGATTCCCGGTGATTACTCAATATTATAATTTCTTAACTTTGGGTAGAGAAGGATATACTAAGATTTTCGATGGTTGTTTATCCAATGCAAGATTATTTTCAGACTTTTTGGAAAAATCGAAATATTTCGAAGTAGAGTCCCAAATTCATCATGAATTAGATGAAAAGGATAAGAAGGCATACTTCACTGGAGAATGGGATGGTGAAAAGGATGAATGGAGTGTTAATGAGAATTATAAACCTGGATTACCTGTAGTTGCATTCCGTTTCTCTAAAGAAGTTAGAGATAAATATCCTGAAATTCCTCAAAACATATTTTCGCTGCTTTTACGTAAAAGAGGTTTTATTGTTCCAAATTATCATTTACCAGTGGATGAAAATGACAAAGAAATCTTAAGAGTGGTTGTACGTGATTCTATGTCCTTACTTCTTTTAGAAAATTTGTTACAAGCATGTGCTGAAACTGTTGAATTGTTGATTAATGCTGCCGACAAAGTTCGTGAAATTGTTCATGATCATGGACACACTGAAGAGGAAATGAGAGACACAATTCATGAATTATTGGTAGCTATTGCTTCTGGAGGTGAAGCTGCCATTAAACAAGTTCAGCATGAAAAAGTTAAAGAAAAGGGTGATAATGTTGGTCCACATAAGAAATCATATCGTGGTATTTGTTAAATTGGCTGCAAAAAAAACGTAAACAGAGAAAATTGGCAATTTTTGACAATTTTTTATTCTTTTTGTTGTCTGAAAATTGTCGGTTTCGTCAGGCCGGTATTAGTCCTGTCTCTTTTTATAGTTTCCTATCACTTTAGAACTTTTCTAGAAGATCAATAGTTTCATCAATAAATTGTTTTCTCTATTCCGTATTAACTGCTATGTATTTTTACATGTATCAAACAAGAAGATCAATTTACTCTCACTATCAAATTCTTGGTAGCAACAATAATCACAGTCAGGGATACGTCATCCTTTGGTCATTCTGTATTTTTTTTTTTCTTATATCGTTCTGTAATTAGACGTTAACCGCTGCCATTAGGTCATCCAATTTTTTACCCCACGCATATTATGATTGCTGCTTGAAAAAAATCTACAATATAAAGGGATGATATAATGGCCCCATAAAAGTAATTTTTATAGACTATTTAATTTATTACACTCTCTATACAATTAGTAAAATGCCATATTCACAAGATCAATTAAGTGCATACCGTGCAGTAATTATAATCACCTTATTATTATCCATCTATGGAAGTCTTCATTATGCTCATCATGCATATGGCACCGACACCCCATTCACTGCCAGTTATGTATTATTATCAATCTATTGGATTGTAATCTATATCTGGCAAATCGCATTCACAATTGCTTCCTTCATCCCCAATGAAACTCGATTAACTATGGTTTGTGAATTAGGTTGGCATTTCCCCATTTTTAATATCTTACATTATATTTGGGCTGAATCATTCACTAATCAATATTTTATCCTTGCTGAATTATTCCTAATTTTGAATTTCTTTAATTTGTTAGGAATGTATTTCACTCATAAGACATATGCACTTGGACCAGTTACAAATTGGTTCTTGATTCATGTTCCTTTGGTTGCTTTGCCTTTGAATTGGGTTATTTATGGAATCATGTGGAATGGGGCCGTGATGTGTCATGTTGAAGAGAAATTATGGGCTAGAATATTAGCAAATATTTTCATTTGGGATTTTTTGTTAATTGGTGCGATTTTCTTGTTTTTGTTTAGAGATTGGGCCAGTGGATTAAGTATTTCTTATTTAATGTTGGCATTGGGTTTCAGACAATTGGCGACTAAGATATTTGCCCTTCAATGGATATTTGCATTTGTTATTTCTGGTGTTTTATTCTGTGCTAGTGTCTTTGTATTGGTTATTGATGGGTTTAATCCTTCACAACCTGAAAATGAACCATTATTGGAAGATCAAGGTGTTTAAAAAAGAAAATTATTTATTCATTTTCTTTATGAGTTTTTGTTTAAGAAGGGTTGGGTTTTCATTAAGGACTAATGAATTATATAATAACAATTGATGATGATGAGCTAATGATGAAATTGTATCTTTATGAATATTAGATAGGAATTCTTTGGCATCTGTTGTATCTGGATTACCAATTGATATATATTTTGATTTTAATAAATTATATTGATTCTTTTCTCTTACTTTGTCTGCCATTTTCAATGTTTTGCTGTCTCTTGTCTTTTACTAGTTGTAAAGAAGAAGAAGATTGAGAGATGATTAGGGTTTTTATTTTATTCTTTTTTTGGGCAATGCACGTACTGTTATTTGGTAGTAGTGAGCAATTTCCACTAAATTTCAAAACGATTCATTTACAGCAGTTTATCACTAAAACTTGTTAATATTGATGAGAATAGTCCCATATAAAGTTTTCTTAGAATTTTCAATATATTACAATTGTCTCTTGTTTGTATATGATAATTGAAAATAATAAAATTCTTATATTGGTCAATGAATTTTGTACACACCCAACGGCTACCACCTTTGTTTCCAGAATTTTTTCCCTGCATATTTTCCTACCGTTGCAGAAGAACAATCAAAAGCTTGGTCTAGACTTGGCCCCCCTCCTCTTGTTTTCGGTTTAACAGGTGCTTGATTGATTAAATGGGTTTACCGAACTAGCTAGTTCTTTTAGAATCTAATTTTAATGAATCTAGCTTACATCTGATATTTATAGAAGGCAAATTTGCAACTACAAGTCGGACATCCAATTGAATTTTATTCTTCAAACCTGACAACACAAAATGAAGGAGATACGTTCCTTAGTTTATTAGGTGCAAACCTGAATCCATCTTCCTCGTAGTCAGTTCCAGACATTTTTGAATGGCTTATACATAGAGTTGTTATATAGACCCGGTTGCTAAAGAAAAGGAGGGGGGGGAGCTTTGGTGCAACTTATGATAGCTTGTCTAGAGTAATTTTTCTCAATTAGGAAGTCATAAATATAAGCTTTTTTAGGCGAACGGAGTGGGAGTTTTTTTAGTTTTACACTAACCCCGCCATTTACGAGCAAGAATGAATGGGTTCACAGATTGACACCTGTAACTCGGTGGCTAGGGATCGACCTAAACATGCAAGTTTATGTATTGAGATAGTTTTAGTTTATTCAGTTGTGGAAGTCTATAGAATTTTGTTGAATTTTTTCTAAAGCCGCGTAAGGCAAAAATAATAAATCCGTCAAAATTGAACGAAGGAGGAGTAAGAAGGTGGGGGATGATGCTATTCAACGGATCGGAGGGCGGATATTTATTTGATAAATTTCCCCGGAGAATAGTTAAAAGACTATAAAGACTATGTTTTGTAGTAATCGGTCTTATCGGGATATATACATGAATGGGCTCGGATGTTGTATATTTATAACTATTAACTGTGCTTTGCCCTGCAAATTAAAGTTAGATGCAAATTGTTTTATTGTAATATTTTAGATCCTTTTTTTTTTTCAATGACTTTTTACGTGGGGGAAAAATGAGGCGAATTTTAATGTATCGTATAATTTTAACAAGGTCAACCAATCTGTCTATTTTTTAAACTATAAAAGATACTCTATAGCTTTTAAGTTATATACTTGTATTACATGTACTACCTTCGGAGTTGCTGACATATACAGTAAAATAGTTTTATGTTTGTTGGCTTAACTTCTCTTTGTCTCTCCGCAAATTCCTCCACGACAAATCAAAATTTAAAATAATTAAACAAAAGACTAAATTTCTTTTTTTTTTTTGCCTTTGTACTTTGATTCTGTACAGTACTTGCGGAAGAAAGACAAAGAAAGAAAGAGAAAAAATTTTTAGTTGCTTTTTAATTAATAAATTTGGTTGGGTTTAATTAAGTATGTGTTGAATTACTAATAATAAATTTTTTTTGCCCTGTTCGTCGGAGAGAGGGACTGCCCTGCTTATAAACAATATTAAACAATTAAATATATTATACCCCTTTAGTTCGACCTTCTTCTGTCAGTCATTTTTTTTTTTCATTGTCTCCTTTTCTTTACATATAACCAACTTGACTTAAGTTACATAGATACGTATCAGTAAGTAAATAGAAGTCATGCTGTCATATCCAACTACAACCTTTAACGACATCCCTCTCGATAATCAACTATTAAGTTTTGATAATAATACAGCAGTTAGTAACCCTTCATCAACAACATCTTCAAATTCTGCTACTTCTGCAACGACAATACCAACTCCACCTTCAACAACATCTTCTCTGATCAACAACCCTGGTGATCTTTCCCCCACTAACAATCAACAACAAATGAATAATTTCCAAGCTCATTCTATGCAATATCTGAGACTGCAACCTCAACCTCATCCAACAGATTTTATTCAATCAAATGATAATAACGATACTACTTCATCTTCAATGCCAGTTTATAAAATGTATCAACATAAAAATTATTTACCTCATAATCAACGTATATCAAATATAGCTTGGAGAATTCAAAATAAAAAATCAATAAATTCTTCCGCTACAACTATGACTCCAAGTACTTCTTCTGGTGGTACTAGTGGTGGTGGTATTACTAAACCTATAGTAAGATCAAACTCATCAAGTGGTAGATTTGGTGCTAGATCAAATTCATTATCTAAAGCATTAACTAGAAAAGGTTCGATTGAAGATCCTAATTTAGATGATTTTGATTACGTTGCTCATATAAGAAGAATATCTCAAGAAGATTATAAACCAGAACTTAATAATAATAAAACAAATCCAAATCTTTCATCCTACATAAATTCATTAGAATCAACTTTAAAACAAAATAATAAATCTCCTTCACCTTTAAATTCAAAGAAAGGTTTACAATGTACAAATTGTCAAACTAAAACTACTCCCCTTTGGAGAAAAGCAAATAATGGGGATTTATTATGTAATGCTTGTGGATTGTTTTATAAATTACATGGGGTTTTAAGACCTCTTAATTCAACATTAGATACCCCAGTGACATCAAAAGAACCACCAAAGAAGGTTACTGGTAAAAAGAAAATTAATAAAAACGATAAAATCATTCTGAATTCAAATACAAATATATTTAATGGGTTAGGTGAACAAATCCCAGTCTCAACTATGAATGATGTTTATACCAAAAATAATAAAATCATGGCAACAGCTACTAATAATAATAATAATAATGACCCATCTGGCAATACAGAAGATATAATGAATTTGGATTCATTCTTGGATTTCAATGTAAATGCAAATAATTTACATTTAGATACTAATTCTCATGGATTATCTTCAAGTTTACCTGTAAAATTACACCCACAACAACAGCAACAGCAACAGCAACAGCAACAACAACAATTTACTCCGTCAGCGGTTGATGATATTGAAAAATTATTTACTATGAATTATGATATATCACAAAGAACAGTGTTTGATTTTGATCCTTCTCCCATGCACGACAACAACCATATGTCACCAGATCAACAATTTATGATGAATCAACAATTCTCAATGCCATATCCTCCACAACAACAACAACCACAAATGCATCAACATCAACAACAACAACAACAATCACTTCATTCTCAACCGGTACAACCAATACCCATGCACACTCAAGATAATTTGGATTTGATAGATCCAAACTCGGGTGTATCTTCAAATAACTTTAATAATGGTGGGAATAATGGTAGTTGGAATTGGTTAGATTTTAGTCCAGCTGCCTCATAATGAATTACTCTGTTGAGTATATCTTGCATTTTATTATCATGATGTTTTATTTATTGTATAATTTTACTTCTCTATAAATATATATAGACGGAAGAACGCTATTTATTAACTAAATTAATTTACTCATAAATGATTACTTGTTTACCATTCTTTGAATCTGCAATTGATTTCAATACTACTGATTTCAAATCTTGAGTCTTTGGATTATATTCAACTTTATTAAATTCGACATCTTTAATTTTCCCAGTTTGATATAATTCAATTAATTTATTAATCGTATCAACTTTCAGTTGGGGATTACGTTTTGTATTTGCAGTTAACCAATAAGAAACTGTTGTCAAATTCTTAAATAATTGCAATCTTCCGTCATATTTAATTTCTGGACTTCCGACTACTCCATATGAAACCAAAAACCCATCATTACTCAATGATGCGACTAAATTAGGTACAGTGACACCACAAACACTATTTAATGCAAGTCTAACATTCCCATTATTAGTTACCTTCCCAATATCGAATTCAGGAGAAATGAATTCCAGTTCATTGATCACTTTCGTTGCACCCAATTCATACAATTCCTTAATCTCTTCTGCCGATTTCCCATCTCTAACAACCGAAATCGTAGAAATATTCATCAATCTAGCAATCTGAGTTAAATATTTACTCACTTGAGAATTACCCGCATTCTGAATCACCCAATCTCCATCTTGCCAGTCCTTAACGTATTGATTCAAGATTTGATAAGCAGTACTTGGATTAATCGAAATCGTAGCCGCTTGATCCAAACTCAATCCATTCACCCTAATCAACGGACTCCTATCCTCGTCACCTACATTTACCAATGCACAGGTTCTCCAAGTTCCAAATCCGGGGAGTTTGGGTATGACAATATCACCCACTACATACCCTTCCACTTTTTCCCCCAATTCGATTATTTCATAAACACCTTCGTTTCCAGCTACATGTAGGGCCGGGTTGGGTTCTGATCCAAGATCGGTGATTGTGCGGGGGACATTGTATCCGCCATAGATTTGTCCGAGGTCGGATGGATTGATGGGAGTGGCTAATGTCCGTAATAGGATTTGATTGGGGGCGATTGGGGTGGAGATTTTGAAGTGGGTATTGGATAAGACTTGGGAGAGGTCACGTCCGTGGTGGGTGTATGTTACTGCTGTTCCTTGAATCATTTTGAGTTGGTGTTGTTTTGTAGAGAGAAAAGAAGAGGAAATTGATTTTTGAAAAATTTCCCACGGGCGGGATCTTGGACTGGTTTTATAGGGTTTGAGCTTTTTTGGTGGTGGGGAAAAAAACTGTGGGGATTTCCGGATCAGAAGTTCCGTAATTTCCTATTAGTATTCTGTATTTGACACCACACCCTTTGAATTGTTATATTTATAGTATAAATATTGGTTATAGGATGTTCTGTATGTTATTGGGGTTTATTACCAAATTGTTACTCTCCAGGAAATCAAAGAATTGTGTTTATGCTGACATTCGGAATTTTAGGGAAGTTTCCCGATATGCATTTCCGTGTAAAGATCTAAAATAAACTTTTTTGCAACCATTGGAGTTTTAAACTTTGTATGAAAACAGTAAATTAATTTATTATTAAAAGTATTTAAGAAACAATATATATCTATATAATGTATATAAAAAATAGTAAGATTAAGTGAAGGCTTATAAAAAGTACCAAACTTTAACGTAAACGGAAAGAGCAGCAATAATTCTATAGATTATTAAACAAGCAACTAAAGCACCAAAAGAAATAGCTAAATTTGTATCAAGATTATAATATTCAAGAACACTTTCACCAGTAGTTAATGAACACTCTTCTACTGGACATGAAAATACTTGAACTTTAAATCCCATTTTGATAGTAATATTTGCCACGTATTTTATTGGATTGATCCAATTAATAGCTTTAAAAAAGCCTGGTAATTGAAGTGACATAGTACCTCCCATAAATGCTGCAAGCGTCATAGCGGTGGATAAAACATCAGTAGCTATACCAACCCTATCAAACATACTATTAATCATAATACCCAATGATTCACCAATATTAACTGAAACACATGAACCAAAGAACATCGTGAAAAACATACCAGCATTTCTAGGTAATCCAACAATAAATACAACAAAGGCACTAAATACTAAACACGGAATAATTTCAAGAGGTAGTTCATTCAATAAATATGCTGATGTGAATACAAAAGCACCACTAATACCATCTTCATATTCATTATTGAAGATATTTCTTTCGGTTGGATATAACGAAATATTATTAATCATTCCAATAAGTATCATGGAAACCACATTCTGAATTAAACCAAGTCTATTAGTTATACCCTCTTGAGTATTCCCTAAAGGAGCAAAGAATAAGGTTTGTATAATTGCAAGCAAGAATATCAGTAATACTCTAAAAACTGCCAAATCTTTCGATCTGAAAGTACTAAGAGTTTGTCTTTGAATAATTGTAATTAAACTTGACCAAAATGGAACTGTTGCAAAATGAAACATTGGCAAATCTATTTTCCTATTACCAATGGGGGCAACAAAGTCAACTGGTGTAAGACTCCAAGAATTAATCAATCGTTGTACATTGGCTTCCTTTTCTTCCCTATTAACATCTTCTAAGGAGGAGGAAAGTTGATCAAGGAGGAAATTAGCAGTATTGCAACCAATTGGAATATCATATCGAAGTGTGGAAAAATACTCATAAATATCTGACAAATCACCATCATTTAACAACATTACAGTCTTTTGCCATTAACAACAATCTACTGAATTCATTAAGCATATCTTCATTGGGTTGATGAATAGTCATCAGTTGTTTTGTTCTTCTGTGCTAGTTCACCAAGCAAAAACTAACTATTGATAATGTAGTAGAAGAATCCAACCCAGAAGTAGATTCATCAAGGAATAAGATTTTTGGCCTGCTTAATAATTGGGAAGCAATTGAAACCCTTCTTTGTTCACCTCCTGATAAACTAATTTTAGCTGTATATCCAATCACTCTTGTATCTTTCAAATTCAGGATTTCTAATGTATCCAACAAGGAGGAAATGAGTTGCTGTCTTTCTTCTTTGGTGCGTTGGGGAAGAAGTCTTAATTCTGCTTGATATTTCAATGTTTCCCAAACTCTTAACCCAGGTAAGAAGATATCATCTTGAAGAAGATATGAGTTCTTAATTCGTTTCAAGTTTGGCTGGGGTCGAGTATTGAACATCACCCTCAAAAGTTAAAGTTTTATTTTTGTAGTTTAGTCTGGTAGATAGTGCGTTTAATAAAGTTGTCTTCCCACTTCCTGAACCACCCACAATGGCTAGCATGGACCCACTATCTAAATCGAACGAAACGTCATCTAAGATTTTGGGGTTTTCATTGTTTTCAAGATCTTTATCTTTGATGTTGTTAACTGTTACTGACAAGCTTCTGACTTTTAACTGAACTCTTTCCGATTCAAGTACTTTAAGTACTGATGCTTCCATGATAATACAATTTAGTTTTGGATACTTTAAGGTTTGTGAAAATGGACGGCATCAGGAAGAAATTGATCTGTTTAAACATTGATCATTCCAGTCAAGAATGTGACCTCCTAATTAATAGGAGTGTTATTACTTTTAGAGATTACATTTAGGGGTTATCATTAACAATGAAATGATTTATATTATGATCGCAGCATCGAAATCTCGCGATGTAACATATTTTTTTCCATTTAAACAGTTAATGATACCTGCATAAATTTGCAGCCAAAAAAAAATAAAACGGTGTAAATTTTATTTGCGCTTTTACACTAGCTGCAGGAGGCTTAGTCTCTAAGCGAAACTCTAGATCCTGGTTTTCTTGCAGGATAACTCTTTTGGAACAACAGTTTTTACTTATTGGAATTTTTTTTTAACATATGCTACACAGTATACTACCATCTCTTACCAAAAGAAGATATTTAGAACTCCCACGCAGTATTGGTATAATGTTTCGGAAACTTTTCGAGTCACTGTAATACCACAGTGAGGCTTTTTACAAATAGGGAACATTCCCTCGCATGACTCAGGAAACCTTATAGGGACAAATTTCGTCGCGTGACTCATGAAACCTTATATACTCATCTATAACACTATAATCTGGGGCATTCGGCAAATGTTCCATTGGCCAAGAAAATTTCCTGTGGATTAACGCAACTCCAGAAGCAAAAATACGGATCAGGAAACAATATAGATCTGAAAGGTGAAAGTCTTCTTTCTGGAAAGTTAAATATAAGACCTAATAGTCCACTCTTTATTGATGAAATGAGACCAGAGCTTGTTGGATGTGTCCTTGATGTCTTCCGAATGAGCTAGTATAATTGGTTTCTAAAAAATGTAGTTGTGAAGAATGTCATTACATTGGAGAGTTTAACCCGAATGGAGTTCTATCCCGAACCGTTTTATAAGTGACTCATTTAGGTATAGAATATTCTGTAGTTGTTAAAAAGCCTTTCATCCAATGAGCTCGATAAGGAGGTGGTGTTAGAATTGAAAGCACTACGTTATTCAATTGCAATATGTAATATTACTTTCTGTACTAACGGTAGGGAACTAATATTGTAGTTAAACTAAGGAGCTCTATTTCGAGCCGTTTTCCGAGTGACTCATTCAGGAATAGAAGATTCCGACGTTAGTCAAAACTTATGAATCCAGTGAGCTCGATAAGTAGGTAGTGTTAGATTTAAAATCTACGTTCTTCGATTTTACTGTGGAATATTACAAGCTGTGATCATTATTGTTGGGGAATAATATTGTAGTTAGACTACAGGTATATATAAAGAAATCAAGTATGTAAGTCCAATAATTCCAAGAAAAAGATAGCAAACTGAGGGAGAACCAAAATGATTCAATGTGGCAATTGATACTCCAACTCTTTGATCCAAAGATAAAGAGCCAAGGAAAAAACCAGAAGCTTAATATTATCAATATCAATCTTCATTCCAAATTCCTTTTCCAATGATTTAGCAACCTCTTGATTAAATTCATAATCATCCATTCTCATTTCATCTATCCATGAATTCTGTTGAAGAAATCCTAAAATATGAGGACTGTGATAATTTGCATACGATAATTGAAGAATTGCATTACGGGAACTGGGAATACTCTTGAGAGCACCATTTTGTTTGATCTCAAAAACTGCCCTTTGTACACTTCCAGGAATTTCCTGAAGGAATTCTATAAAAGCTTCAAGTCCGGATGATTTGAAAAGTAACATGGATGTAAAGTTAGTGGCTATGGCTGTCATGTGGAGGTTTAAATTGAATCTAATACTACGGAAATAAATGTCATAAATGATTTTTGAGTGTGATGAATCTTGTAGGTTTAATTTCACAGTATTATCATCGTCATAAGGGACAGGATCTTGAGTTATTTGAATTACGGGGTATGTGTTAATTTTTGTTGCCATTGCGGATTAATCGGAGGGTAATAAGGGTAATGTTAAGTAATCAGTTGGATAAAAATTTAGATCTTTTTCTTTGAAGATATATTAAACAAATTCTATGACTTCCTTAATACCTTTTCTTTGATAAGTAATCTTAAATGTCAAATATGCGAATAGGAGTAGGGAGCTTGGGCAAACGTTCGGGATTGTTTCCTTTTTTTCGCAATCGCACTTCTGTGGGGTGTCACACCAGCCCTCGCCTTATCTGTAAAAAAAAATCCAGCTTTTTCTTCTCCAGATTATTATTTTTCGCCTCAGTTACACGAAATGATAAAATCGTTCAACGGACTGAAAACAGATATCTGCAAACGACACTAAGGAGACAATTCTTAATAACAATAAAGCAATTGCGGTTGCTGAAAATTTCATTAGCCGATAGTGTAGATTAATGCAGTTTTGCTTGTTCGGGAAATTGACTCCACCATTTCATAGTCCGAAAGTCGTTTCAGGGCAATATAAATGTATACAGTCTGAACGTGAACAATAGTCTGAACGAAGGCATTACCGTAAAATCTAGAAGCCAGTCGGTGGAGAAGGTTCTCGAACAATAGGTTCACTCATGCAGTCCTTTAATATCCAATTATGTTTCGCCATGGATGTATTCTAGAATCTGTTTCGGAAAAGCTTAATATTGAGGAATAGAACTTAATTTTCTTTTGTTGTGTGAATTGCTTCACTCGGACTTGAAAAATAGCTAGGTTGTTCGAATCGGTAGAGGAATTGATGAAGATGGATCATTGGAACGGTGTGATCAATGGAATGGTGTGATCAATGGAATGGTGTGATCAAATGCTCTTGTGTCAATGGATATTCCAACTTACGTGAACAAAACAAAATAAGCAATGCAAGCCAGGTTTGGAAACTTGCACGATATAGTTCAAACAATAAGGCTGAAAGTTGCTCCCTCTTCTATTTTTTCAATTTCGGAATTACAAATTTGTTATTTGCAACCAACAGAAGCAAGCCAGCAAAAATGAATTTCTTATACAATTCCAATCATAAATAAATACTTAATGGGCATCTTTGAACAATTTCCAGAATGTTACAAGTACAGTTGGTTGTATCTCTGTCCGCTGATCACAGTATCTGCTGTCAATAAGAAACCTTGGCTCAGAACTCAAGGGGTCCCTTCGAATGGGCCTCTGAAAAGAAACTTTGCAGCCCCTCGTTATCTCTTTCTTTCCCATATATGCGTCACGAAATGAATAGATTAACATCCTATTTAGGAACGGCATCCCTGGCTTGCTATCTATCAGGAAAATTATTTTTGATGCAAACTTGAAAGTCTCAAAGAATATTATTGGAATTTTTCATTAATCATTATTACATCATCATCTTGCAACGAAATTTACACTCGCAATGAACCTTTTTCGAAACCAACACCTAAAAGTAGTACGTCAATAAAGAAAAAACAGAGCTACGAAGTTCAGAGTCTTTTTAAATATAAAAGTTTCGGGCGTTTTTCATTTTCTCCTCAGTTGTCTGTTACGTTTTGTGTCCAAATCTTAATCTTATTTCTCGATTTTGTGCTACACCTCATCTATCAGTCCACTTCTGGGAAGGAAAGTTCGGTAGAAAAGGATGTAGCGTGGTGTTTTATTAGAGTAGATGAAGCCTAGTGGCTCAGTCGTTAACTTTAGCGTAATTACATCATGACATCATGACATCAGTATGGTTAAGTTAGATTACATAAAATACCGCCATACTTTTAAGATGTTGCGAAATTAATATTATTTTAATATTTGGCTTACGGAATGATGAAACAAAGGAATGATTTCGAGGAAATGAGGAGGAGGGGCAATCTTTTGCATAATTGCTCATCTCGAACAATATAACTTCGAACAATCTAATTTCACGAAATTTTCGAATTTAAAGATAAAAATAAACGAATATTATTTTAACTACTTGGGGATAAGTTATGAACCCCCTAGGATGAAAACTTGAGATTTTCAGCCATTGGACTTTGGTAAAGTTTTCAGGTTGATACTAAGGTCTCGGTGCCGATTAATAGTCTGGACTGTTTTGTGTTCAGACAAAAATCAGAAGGTTTGAATAACTTTAAAGTTTTTTTAATATTGCTGTTAATTGATGCAATTTGCAATGTTCCACTGGGTATAAAGCACAAAAATAAATCAGTAGATTATTTAGACTTTTGTATATTTGTTACAACGCGTGAATTCAAGAAAAAAAGAGAATATTGACACATTCCAGGGATACACAGAAACTGGCTTGATCTAGATCAAATTTGTAGACCTTCTATCCCCTTTATGAGGTTTATGCTGGTAATTTCGCTTATGATTTATTACAGGTTGTAATAACCAGTAACAAGTAATAAGTTGCTCCACTGTTCATATGAAATTTCCAAACCTCCTTGATTTTTTTTTTTCGTTGTGTGCATCTACGACGACGCAACCTTAACAATAAAATAGTAAATAAGGAGATTTGAGAAAGGTAATCAGCCTATAAATTTAATAATCAAGAATTTTTGCAATTGAGTGTTTGATCTGAGAATTCCATAGGATTTGTCTTTAATTACTAAAAGTGTTGTTAATAGATAATTTTCGAAACGTGTAGTGGTCGCATATTGAGGCAGAGCAGATATTTTAATATTAAAAGGGCTGCAATTCTATTTTTAGATTGAGTGTCTCAAAATATGTGAGACTGAAAAAATTAACCCCCTTTAGGGCCAAAAAAAAATATTAATGGACTTTTAAAAAATATTCCGAAAACAATGCAGTAAAAATAATTAAACTTACATAAAAAATATAAATAAGAATTGTCATTAACCAAATCGATGAAATGAAGATAAACAAAGAGAAAAAGGCTGGCTGATTGCAAAAAATGTGGGAAAGAGAGATCTAGAAAGACTATCAACTGATTTACGTCATTCAATTTTTAGTCCCTGATACTAAGAATTTGAGGGTAGTCATCAATTTCATTAATTGGGCAAATTTCTATTTTCTTGACCGTTTGTTTACGTTTAGTCCAGATCGGGCAAAAGCGAGAGAGGAAAAAAAAATGAATGATTAAATTACATCCTGTGCTACACTGAAACCAATGTTTATTTCAAGGTCGTACTACTCTAAGATTAAGACATATCAGAGTTACTCTTGGAAAGAAATCACCTAGTAGTGATTACAGCTGGTGAGGTACATGCTGGAAATTGCATTGACATTGTTTTATAATAATGAGGTGTGAAATATAAATCTTTTTTTAGAACACATGGAGTGCTTTTTTTTTGCCGGTTCTTTTGCAACAATGGAAATTGATTCTTAAACTGTACGAAGTTAACCCTAATTTGTAATATTATCTAAATTCATACTTCTCCCTTAAGGGATATAATTCTTTGTTGGAAATTTTTCAAATTCAGTTGTGAACAATTAGAAATAATAATAATATTCTGAATTCCCGAATTACTATTGCTCCTCCTCCTCCCCCCTCTACAAATTCTCTTAGTAATTCTATTATTAAATGAACTTTTGAATTAAAGTTATTAAAAAAAAAATAAGGATGAATCTTAAAAAATAAATTTACGGTTGTGTTAATTTTACACTTTTTATTTTTTTTATTTTTTATTTTTATTATATTTTATTTTTAAGAATTGAAGAGAAAGAAAGAGCGGTCACTTTCTACATTTTCTTCTTTATTTCTAAATACAATTCTTCTTCTTCGACTTTAATACTCCTTCTTTTTTTTTTACAGCCTTCTTTACAATTTAGAATTTCAATTGGCAAATTCATCCTTTGGTTATTCTTTTTCTTTCTGGTGTTTAAAGAGAATATATCCCTACAGAAAGACATCATACTTAAATCATGGGGTTCTTTTCAAGACTAAGATCTGACAAGACAGCCTTACAACCACCACCACCACCTGATCTGAAAGGGAAAGGTCATACTAGACTGTCATTTAGATCCAATTCATTTACAGGAAGCGAATTCCTGTCAACTGCATCTGACTCATCTCATACTTCATCTGAATCTATGGGATTTAATTCTTCAAACCAGCAACAACATCATCAATCAAAATCATCAAAATTTTCATCTAAACCAAAGACTGAAACTTCTTCAACTGCATTTCCTTCAACTCCAAACAAAAAGAAATTCCTTCAAAGACCTCAATCTGAAATAGTCACTAGTAAACAACAATATAGTCCAATACCAGTAGGAAAATTACGTAGTTCAAAGGAATTACCAACCCCTTCTAAACATAGAAGTCCAAGTCGTAAACCTCCAACTGACGATTTCATAGATAGTCCAACACCGCAACAAAACTCTGATCCAATGATAAACATAAACAAGTTAAGAACATCTCCATTGCTTCCAATGTCGCCTTCACAACAACAACATGATGCTCAACAAGAATTTATTGAACCGCTACCAAGTCGCATTCCTAGAAAGAAATCACCGTTATCTCAAGTGCATACAGAACAAATGGATTTTTCTCAAGATTTCCAATATAAAACATTAAGACCTTCAACTCCTAAACAACTGCTGCTTTCTCCAAAAACACCCAAAAATCCAATTGTTGAAATTCCTCAGCCACCTTTTGCAAATCCACATCCAATAAATGGTCTGGAAAACTCAAGTCCAACGTCTCAATTCAACTTCAATCCTGCTTCATCATCTGCTTATTCACAATCTCAACAATTTTCATCTCAAAAGCCAGCTGCTAGACAAGGCTCGAACCCTAGTGAAGGAGGTGACTCTTCTGAAGAAGATCTTCGGAGTTCTGTTTCTACATTACCCCCAACTCAACATCCATATTATGAACAATGGAAACAATATTACGAAACTTTAGCTGCTCAATTTGCACAACAACAACAACAAGCTAATGGTGACAACTCCCAAGCACCCCCAGTTAATCCAATGATGTTTATGCAAATGCCATTTGTGTACAATCCGTTTGCACCTCCCCATGGAAGTCCAGGTAATGGAATGGCAACAATGAACTATCTGACTTCACAATTACCTGATCCAGCACTTATGTATCAACAACAACAGCTCTTCCATTCTCAATCACAATTAAGTGGTTCTTCATATCCAAGTCTGGCCATCCAATCTCCTATTGAGGGCGTACGTCCACAATTTGAATTCCCAGAACAACCGCAACATGATTATTTAACTTCGTATAAGAAATCTAAGAATATGCAAACTGAAATCATCAATGAAGATAATGAATTAGTTTCCAACTCAAGAAAATCAACAGTTAAATCTAATAGATATCCTTCTGCTCCATCTAGTTTTATTAGAAAAGACGTTACTAACATTGGTAATCATATGAGAGTTTCATCAGTTGAACTGAATTTCAAACCAAATGAATTCCAAATCTATGATGAAGAGGATGGTGATAGTGATAAAAGTAGATCTGTTTCATATAGTAGCACAGGATTCTCTTCTCCTTCTGATAGTACTGGTTCAATTGCAAAATTACTGCAAATGAGTTTAACTGATAGAAAAAGAGAATTATCAAGACATATTTCCGATTATAATAAATTTTTATTTGGAAATGGGGATGAGGATAGTGAATCCGAAGAAGAATTAGGAAATCATAACAAAACAAAAGATTCTCAGAATGACGAAGATAAAACTTTAATTGCTGATAAGGCTCCACCTGTTGATCATCAATTACCAACTCCAACTTCTGAAGATGGTTTAAGTGCCAAGGACTCTTCAAATTCTGTTTCCGAAACTTCTTCAGTCAATTCAATTCAAAGTGATGGTCCTGATAAATTCATTGTAGGTGAATTAAAACCAAAAGTTAAATCACCAAATAGAAGACAATCAAATGTTTCTCCAGCAACGGTACGTGATGTTAAGAAGGAAGCTAAACCGGTAGTGAAGGGAAATAGCGTCTATTCATCATATCCGTATAATACTAGTGTGACTAGTTTGACTATGGGTATGCCACCTCCACCACAATCCAGAAGTATGGAACCTGTGTATATGGCCGCTTCTTATTCTAACCCAATGTTATCAGTACCAACTGAGTATAATGGAAGTACTACTAGTTTCGGTCATAATAGAAGACAAAGTATTGCCACTGCTGAAGCCAAAAGAAGATCAATGATTGGTCTTAATGGATATCTTGATGCTCCTGTGATTAATAAGAGAAATAGTATGCCAATGTTTGGTGCATATCAACAACAACCACAAGCTCCAAGAATTACAGAACCAATTATTGCTAAAAAGATTCAAGATTTTATTAAGTTACGTAACGTTATTGCGTCTGGAAATAAAACAATTGAATATAGATTATATTGGGTTAAGATGTTGGTTACTGCTATTAATTACAAACTTTATGCATATATTAACATTAAAGGTGATCCAATTCAACCTGAACAAGGTCCAAGTAATAAACTTCTTTTCATCAAATCTATGGAAACTCAACTCACTAAATTATTAAAAGAATTTGAGAGTGGTAGAATTGAAAGGGAAGGTGTTGAATCTGAACTTTATTTTGTTTATGCATCATTATTAAAACAAGATTTTGTTGCATCTCATAATCAAGATTTTGGATTTGAAAAGGATGCTGTTAGGGCTATTGAATATTATGAAAAAGTTTTAGAAGTTAATCCAAAAGATTTCAAAGCATTATATAAAATTGGTGAAATTCATGAATATGACTTTGAAGGTCAATTTGAAAGAGCAGTGGAATTCTATACTGAAGCAGCAAAATTCGGTTATAATAGAGCTATTTTCAAGATTTCTATGCTTTATTTACATGTGCCTGAACTTAGATCAGTTAAGTTTTTGAAATATTTACACGGGTTGTCAAATATTGAATTAAAGGATGTTAGATTAGATGAAGAAGATTTTGAAGAAATGCAAGAAATTGTTGGTTTAGCAAGTTATGAATTAGGTAGAATATATGAAGGACTTTATCCTGGTGATTTATCAATGGAAGATGATTTCATTTTAAGATCAGTTGAAATTGCTCCAGTTAATTATGCCAAGAGTTTGACATATTATAATAAAGCTGCTAAACTAGATTGTTTATTGGCTCAAGTTCGTTTAGGTATAGTTTATGAAAAGGGAGAATTAAACCGTCAACAAAATCCAAATAAATCAATCCAATGGTTTATCAAAGCATCTTCATCTCCATTATCATTCAAGAGACATCCTGAAGCAATGATTGGTTTAGCTAGATGGTATTTAAGAGGAAGCGATGGACTGAACAAACATATTCCGGTTCCAGCTCCTGAAAAGGCGGTGATCTGGTGTGATCGTGCTATTAAAGAGTTTAATTCCGCAGATGCAATGTTTATGATGGGTGAGTTATCAGAAATGGGATTCACTGGTTCAAACCCCCAAACTTGGTACAAGAAGTCATATGATATGGGTTTTGAACCTGCAGCTGAGAAGTTGGGACTTGTTGAATAGAAGGTGGTCGGTAGTTAGGGTTTGCATTCGCTCTTTTACAAAAGACATTTTTTACATCATAGAACACACAATAAAAGGTTTTATTGTGATTATTGTTTTGCTTTTTTTTTATTTAATTTATTTTTAGTTTGTTGAACGTTTTATCGTTGATTGTCTTTTATTTGACTTTATTGGTGAGTTTATTTGCAACTTTACAAAGTGTTTATGTATATTAATATTTCACAGGTTTTACTTTTTTTATTTATAGTAATTAATAATTATTTTCATTTTATTGCAATATAAATTAATGTGGTTGGAATAACTTTAGTTTATATCTCTGTTTTGTTCTTGGTGTGTCTGTCTGTATGTCTGTCTGTCTTGTTGGGAGTGTAGTAGTAATATGCAATTTTTTCAAGTAACTATTACCCCTTGTTCTGTTTCTACCATGACAGACTGCAACATGAGACCGTCTTGGACCAAAAATGATTTTTTTTTTTTGGCTGGAGTTCCGCTCACACACCAAATCTCGCCTAGTTTCCTAAGACGGGAAAAAGATTCCGCATCTCTTTCTCGTGGCAATTTTAGTGGGAAATGAGATTCTTCTTATCTTTAATGTTGAAACTTCCGTTCCGTGTTATCTCCTTTTTAAATCTGTCAATTCATTAATAATATTAAACAATCGCATTCTTATATTTTTGCATTATTTACTAAGTCCTAGTAAGTTCCCAATAGCTACGTTGCCAATAGTTCCCCCCCTTCCCCCTTCCGTTGTGCCCCACTCCTAATTCATTTGCTAACGAATTTTCATAATGACCGAACACAGAGACATTGATTCAAAACGAAGGAGATCCATTGCATTACTTACAAAGCCAGCACTTACACCATCCCCATATTCCATGTCACCAAATCGAAATTCACCGATGGGATTGGCATCTTCATACGCAGGAAACACACAATTCATGAAATCATTCTCAGATCGTGAAGATGAGAATGCAGTAGGGGCGATCGAAACCGAATCATCAAATCATTCATCAAGATCAAATTTATCAGATACCCCTCAGCCTCCTTCTCCTCCTCACCAAGAGCTTAACTTGTCTGCAGGGTTGGACAATCCCATCTTAATTCAGAAAGTAGCTAAACATTTACCACAGGAAGATTCCTTGTCTCAAGAAGGTGGTGATATCGTTCGAGATCTTTATAAGATCGGACACGAGTCTAGAAACACCCCTGAACTCAGAAGAGCAAGAAGTTTCTCTTCTGAAGATTTAGGTCGTCTGTCTAGGAGATCAAGTACAAGTGCAAGTTCCATAAATGTTCCAGGTGGATTTCGTCGTGAATTTTTAATTCAACAATCTACAAAATTCAATGCAGAATCTGTTCGTACTCAAACTCCTAATTTCTTAACTAGGAACTTTATTGAATTCTTGAGTGTATATGGTAATTTTGCCGGTGAAGAGTTGGAAGATGAAGAGAATGTTGCCAATCATTATAAATATCTTTTACCTTCGGAAGAAATGCCTTTAATTGAGGAAAATTTCAATCCAAAAGGAACTGCAACTGATAAAAAGGCATATTTCTTATTATTAAAAGCATTCATTGGAACTGGTGTCCTTTTTCTTCCCAAGGCGTTCTCGAATGGTGGGTTAGTATTCTCCATTGTGACTTTGTTGTTTTTTGCAGCACTCTCATATTGGTGTTATTTGATTTTGGTTTATGCAAAGACTGCAGTTAAGGTATCGAGTTTTGCAGAACTTGGATTGAAGTTATATGGAAATTGGTTGCAAAGATTAATTCTTTCTTCAATTGTTATTTCACAAATGGGTTTTGTAGCTGCATATATTGTTTTCACTTCGGAGAATTTACGTGCATTTATTGTTAATTTAAGTGGATACAATACTGAAGATTTACCTATATTTTGGTTTATTATGGGCCAAGTGTTGGTGATTACTCCCTTGGCCTTGATTAGAGATATTACGAAATTATCATTACTGGCAGTGTTGGCCAATTTTTTTATTCTTACTGGATTAGTAACTGTGTTATATTTTATCTTTTATGAATGGTTATTAACTAATAATGGACACTTTGGAAATAATATTGAATACTTCTTTAATGAGTCCGAATTTTCATTATTCATTGGAACTGCAATCTTTGCATTTGAAGGAATTGGTTTAATTATTCCAATTCAAGAATCTATGATTTATCCAAATAATTTCCCAAAGGTATTAGGACAAGTTATTTTAACCATCTCCATTGCATTTATTGTTATTGGAAGTTTAGGATATTTAACCTTTGGAGATAATATCCATACTGTGATTTTATTGAATTTACCACAAGACTCAGTATTGGTCATTATGACTCAATTATTATATTCATTTGCCATTTTATTATCCACTCCATTACAATTATTCCCAGCCATTAGATTAATAGAATCCAAACTTTTCTTCATGAGTGGTAAACAGTCCATAACCGTCAAATGGCTCAAGAACTGTTTTAGAACTTTGTTCGTTTTGTTGATTGCATATATTGCCTTGATTGGTGGACGAAATTTGGATAAATTCGTTTCATTCGTTGGTTGCTTTGCATGTATACCTTTGGTTTATATGTATCCGCCAATTTTGCATTTAAAGAGTTGTTGTAATATTCATGACGGTTTACTGACTCAAGAAAAATCATCCAGATATTGGTTGGGTGTTTTAGATTACGTCTTAGTCCTCATTGGAGGTGTAGCCATGGTCTATACAACTTATCAGATCTTGGCTCTTTAGAAAATGTTAAAAAATATTTATAAAATGCATTTTTAAATTAATATATAAATAAAACTAGTATTAATACATAATTACTTTCGGCCGCCAGGGTTTTGGTTTATGGCCATATGTCCTTTAAAGCTTCTCTAAAATCATGAATTCCACTTTCAATAGATTTGTTGGTGTTGACCAATCCAGCGTCTAATTCTTTCTTAAATTGTTCATAATTTTCAAGTAATGTTTGTCTTTGACTATGAAATTCTGGAACATTTTCTTTTTCCAATTGATTGTATTTCTTAACGATTGAACAATAGGTATTTGGCATATAATAACTCAAGGCAACACCACCAAAAACAGTAGGAGCGGCAAATCTTAATGGCAAACTCTTCCTTCTAACCAAAATACTTCCTGATAAAGCAATAGTTAAAATATAAATTAATCCAGGTAAGACTGGGTCTTGAACAATACTATGATATTCCAGTTTAATACTGGTCCATTCGTTATTGAATGCAGATTTTTGAGTCTCGAGTTCAGCATCAGCTAAGGAAAGCTTATCGTGTAAATAGTGTCTGATTGAGTTGGTATATTTTTCTAAAATTGGTGTTGTACGAATAGCCATACCTTCAACAAATGAGGCATGATGGACTGATTCTTGTTCTTTTAATTCGGTAGATATGGCTTGGTTGGTACCGGGCTTGGCTATTATCAATTCGTCGTCCTCGTAGAATGATCTTTTTCCCATCTTATCTTAATTTATCTCTGTTTTGTAGAACAGCTAGAAGAGTTTATCTTCGAAATGGTAGCCAAATATTTTTCATCCAATGAAATCTGACAGAGTCGAGAAACTGGAAGAAAAAAATGAAAGCCGCACTTGCCTAATTTGGACCACTGCCAAAATTTGCAGCAAATGAATTAATTTGCACCTACACAGTTTTAATACACAGTAATATAACGGGTTATAATTAACGAAAACTGAATGCATTAAACTACGATCTATATAAAAGCAAAATCCTAAAATACAATTAAAAACCAAATCACAAATTAACAACTACAAAAAATTATCTTCATGTAAAATTTCAATTCAAAAACCTACTCAATTATCTGGAAAAGATCCCCTTCTTCTTCTTCTTAGCTGAACCACCAGCTGTATTAGATTGGGAAATAGTACCTAATGGTTTTGCATCACTACTTCCATAAGTAGGAACTTCAGGCATTTCACCACCCAGAGATTTTCCATTGCTTGATCCGGAAGATTTTCTCGATTCACCAAACAGTGTTATCGGACGATTTGCTCCACCGGCCGAAGGAGGTGCCAGAACGGCCATTCCATTCAAGTTATTGAGTGATTTCCGTTGCGGATGTGTCCCAGGTTGATAATTCAAGGTATTAATCGCAGAAAGCGATTTCCGACTACTTGGCATACCACCTCTACCTCCCATATCCAATCCTTCAAATCCACCATCTAATGGACCCATAGTTGATTTTCGTAATTGTTTCTTAGGCATTGGTTTAAATCTTGGATCGATACCGGCATATCCGTCAACGGGGGATGTTGTGTCATATACCGATTGGCTGACATGATAAGGTTGTTGGTATGGTTGTGCCATGTGTGTTTGAGGCATGGATCCGACTCTTCTAGGTTGTGGAGGTTGAGGTTGAGGTTGGGTGCCAGGATATGATTGATTAAGAGCAACCATTGAACCTGTTGTTCGGATTTGATGAGGTATTTGTTGTTGTTGTTGTTGTTGTTGGTCAGGGTATCCGTACGGAACAAAGTTTCCGTGAGTAGCTGGTCTTGGTTGCATATGGCCATGGACATATCCATTTGGTGGAATTTGGAATGGTTGGGATGCGTCATGGTATGGTTGTTGTGCTGGTAGTAGCTGTTGTTGTTGATAGCTTACTGATGGATGTCTTGGATGTGCTTGTTGATGCGGATGTTGTTCACGTAAAAGTAATGCTTGTTCTCTCCTTTGTAATTCCATTTCCTTTTGAAGCAAGTGAGGTGGTAAATCTTCACTACGAGCGTCGGTAAAGACTTCATTGTTCTCTACAGTTGCAACAACATCTCGATTCAGAACAGGTTCATAATGGACATTTGCTGCCAACTCTGCCAAATCTGCCAAAGTATCAGGAGGTAATCCTGAATCATCCGAAGCAGGTGTAGGTTGTTGGGCTGGGATAGACACAGAAGAAGAATCTGATGAAGATGTAGCATGCTTATGTTGTTGTTTTTTACTATGGTATTGGACTTCCAAATTTCTGACTCTTTCTTCATGTTGGCATTGTAATAACTTTGCTCTTTTATCATAATCATATTGTAATGAGGCTAATCTTGCTTCTGATTGAGAAATTATTTGTTCGATGTCTTTCAAAGTTTTCTCATGGTTTAATATGTCACTATCTAATTTACTCTTTATGGCTGCTAAATTCTTCACGTTGGTATCTAATTCGTTTTCTTTTAATGACAAGCTCATAATTTCATCTTCTAACATCTGAGTTTTCTTCGATGTACCATTTGAATTTGAATCAATGTTTCTATTGAATAAGATTGAAGTTCCGGAATTTATCTTGCTATATTGACACATAGTAGAATACAAATTCTCCAAGTATGGAGTTCTAATACCATTATCATCACCTAATAAAATTGGTTGCAAAAGTAATAAATCAAGATCCAAGTCATATCTATGGTAGTAATTATAAAACAAATACGGCGAATTGATATACTTGTCATTCTTATCGGTTTTGGGATAATATTTGGACCAAGTACTTAACAAATTAGCTTCATTTTCAAATCCTTTAACCAATTTACATCCCATCTTTTTGATAAGCTTCAATAATTCATTGATTAGACCTGTTATCAAGGGCTTGCATAAAATTTGATTAGATAAATCTTCTGGGAATTCTGATTCGAATATAATCATTAAGGGATTGAATATTATACGAGGTAATGCCAATTTCCATTGATATGTCATAAATTCCTTTGGTGTTAAAGATTTCAATAAACTAATTGAACTTTTAGAATCCTCTTGAGCATCTTGTAATAATTTATAAACACGCTGATAATTACGATTAGATGTTAATGTTTTAGATCCCAAACTAGTACCAAAATAAATCCTGGTATCATTATTTCTAGTTTGATGAGAATATTTATTAGATGAAGTTACTCTAACATCACTCTCATTCATTAAAGACATGACTGCGGTATTTGATAAAGTCATTTGAATAAATGGTTCAAGGTTTATATAACCAGTCAGTTCAACTAAGATGATAGTATCTTTATCCACTAAAGGGGTGATTGTGACCAAAGTCGTTTGGAAATCTTGTAACGAAGGACAACTTAATATGATTATATCATAGGTATTATTGTTTGGAATTTCTTCAGTAGAATTATAAATGTGATGAGGTGTATAATGAGAATTTCCAAGGTATTTGGATTCCCATGATATTGGTCGTGTTCTGACTATATCTGGATTAACAATGCTAACTTCAACAGATTTTGTCTGATAAAATCTCCATGCATAAAATGCCACATTCGCATTGGTTCCAACTAGAAAAACCTTTTTGTTAGTATGATAAATGTCTTACATATACGAGCTAGGAGGTGTACGAAAGGAGGTTTTAAAAAAATCAAATTTTTCTTTGGGAACACCCTTAATTTGGAAGTATATTGTACACCCACCTTTACAACGCGTGTCATCTTGTAAAATACATACTTGCTAATAACTGAACTGCTGACATCTTTGGTTTCTTTGACTTGTAAGAATGTTATGAAGAACTAATAAAATGCAATTTGGTAAAAGAAAACTCCTTAAAAAAACGATTGACTAAATTTGAAAAAATGAAAAAAAATTGTATCTTATTTTTTTTTCACTTTGGATGGGTTTGAATGTCTGTCTGTCTGGCTGGTTAAACTGCTGTCTTCTTCTCTTTCTGACTGCTTTCTATCTATATATCTATTTCTTCTGTCTTTCTCAATCTCACCTGGTTACTGCTATGAATATCAAAAAAAAAATTCTAAAGAAAATTGTTGTGTCAAATAAAAATTCGCTTATAATACTTTTTTTATTAATTTTTTTTTTTTTTTGGCTTTCTGTTTTTTTATTTTTGGCGTTGGGACTTTTTTTTTTTAATTAATTATTAATTATTTTTTAGAGTTATGATTATTATTTTTTGTTGTTGTATAAATAATAAAAATATTTTTTCACAGGTACTACTTTATAAGAAAAATAAATAATAATTTAATTTAATCTTTTTTTAGAAAGGGAGTAGGGGGGGACGGGGACGAGGGGGTGTGGGTAATACGGAAGATAAAGTTTCCTGGTTGACTGTGAAACGAATGAACAATTGTAAACGGAAACAGGTAAATGCTAGATAACCGTCTTCTGTCACTTAACACCCTTAAAATAATGTAAGTTTGTTAAAGCTTCCTTTTATAAATCAAAAGAATCTGAAAAAGAAGGTGAAAAATTATTTTAATTTGGAAGAGACCAAAATATTCATTTATGAAACTTTTTTTTTTTAATTTCATTAATTTTAAAGTAAGAAAAAAGTCAAACAGATTAGTAAGAATAGAATATATACATATAGAGAGAGGGATAGAGAGAGATAGGATAATACAAGAACAAATGTACAACTTTCTTAATCAAATATTATTTAATTACATCATCAACAAAGAATAACCAGTTGCAGGTTATCTATCCATTAAATTTTAATCATCTGGTTATGGAATTCATTTGATCAGATACATAGTAACACCCCACCCCCTTTATCTCTCTTCTGTTGCTCTCGGAGAAAATCTAGGTGTGACCTTCAGAACTGTCATGAGCCTCTCTTGAAGGTGTTTGTATATTGTGCAAATCAACTAGAGGGTTTATATAATTCTTTTTTCATCTATTAATAGATCTGAAATCGATGCGTTTCCTACTTCTCTTACGCCTACCTACATATAGTTACTTTCTGAATGGGGCTATATTTATTCCCCATTTTGATAGATTTTTAACTGCGAGTTTCTAGAACCAAAAAAAAATTTTTTTTTTTGTTTGAAATTTTTAAAATTGTCGCGTAAATTTATTTCCATTTTATTTTTTCAATTAAAAAGTCGTGTATTAGAATTTAAGCATTAATGTATGGATTCTTTCTTAAAACTTGATTATTATGATATGCTAACACAACAACCACAACAATCACAACCACAATAACAAAAAAGCCTAAGTAGGACAGGCTTTTATTCACACATTCCTATGAGAGACCTACTTACAAGAAGTCGCCTGTGCCATTGTCAGACACGGTAACCATTTATGCAAACGATCGGTCCCGTGCAACATCGCCCTGTAAATCCGCCAACTGCAATTTTTTTTTTTGTTGGATTTTTTTTCCACCACCTTATTTTGTATTCCACTTGATTTTGTGTGTCTTGGTGTTATATAGAACTTGGGGCTATGCTAGCAATGCTACGTCAGTTGCTATGGTAATCCATGCGAGTAATTAACTAGAAGTATTTTCTACCGTAACTAGATTAACTGGTTTTGAGCGCAATTCAACACCATTGTTGTTCACCTTTAAACAATGAAACTTACTTGCACAATCCAACAAACACAATAACGGATAACATTATTTTATACGAGAACAAAATTTTCCGATTTTTCCGATTTTTTCAACAATTTATAGATTCTTTTCATATTTACATTGCAAAATATTAGATTATAGAAATATGAAATATTCACATAGGAATAACAACTTTGGAGAAACCCATTTCTACTGGTTCCTTAAAAGTAATGAAGGTGAATTTGTTAGGTGATATAGTAAAGAAATAGCCTAGTCTAGACTGTTTCTGTGCTATTATTTGGCTTACAGAATGCCTCTTTTTACATGTTCCCAAGGTGATGAGTTCTGGAGTGGCTGATTGCAATTTATGTTTACTACTGTAAAGCCTCACTTGTTGACTTTACCACCACAAAGACGTTGTCGTCCACAATAAGGTTTCGCTTAGGGTCGTGCAAGCGTCATTTTTCATCTCTTGTAGTTTCTCAATTGGTGCTACAAAAATCTTGATCTACTGTTGCTGTTTCCTTTTCATATGCAGCAATACTGATTGGTACGCTAGAGAAGGGATGTTATATAGGAGATAATAGATCGATATAATGTCGACTCATTCTTCAAGAATTATTCGATTGAGACTGTCAATACTCAATCAATTACAGTCTCAAGTCCAACTAAATTCGATTGATCTGATTATTAGAGAACTATTTCAAAATAGCATTGATGCTAATGCAGATGAAATCACTTTAAAAATAGACTTGAAATCACTTAGTGTCTATATCAGGGATAATGGATTGGGTATCCTGCCTGATGAATTAGAATTGGTGAGTCTTAAAAATTATACTTCTAAATTGGCAGCATTACAAGACTTAAAATCAATCGAAACTTTTGGATTTAAAGGTGAGGCATTACATTCCCTTAGCACAATTTCCAATTTGAATATTGTTTCAAAATGCAAATCTCATAATGGATCATACAGTCTACAAATTGCTGATAACAAACGAATTGTTCAATTGGCTAACTCAGACGAGAAAAGGTTTGGCAGGGGACCCAGTTATTTTGAAATTGGTAATCTTGGAGTTTCGGGTACAGTAGTTACTGCAACTAACATATTCGCTAATATGCCAGTTAGAAAAGAGCAAATTCATAATATGTCTATCTATAAGATAATTGATGCTATCAAATTGGTTATTTTGCAATCTTTGATTCAAATCCCAAATATAAAACTATCCCTTTTGTTGATAAATCATGAGAAGTTACAACTAGATCAAATTATAAGATTTGATAATAAGAGTGCAACAAGTAGAGAAATTGCTTATTCAAATTTATTTCAATCTCTATTTGGTATCAGGATTAAATACGAACCTGTTAAAGCAAAATTCAAAGACATTGAAGTATTTGGAATAATTGGAACAAAACCAATAAATACCAAAGCTCATCAATATCTATTCCTCAATAATAGACCATTTGTACCACCAAAGGAAGATTTAAAGTTTTTTAATTCCATATTCTCAAATGCTGGATTTACTGAAGATATTGATGAACAGCTAGTCAGTCCTACTAAAATTAAAGGAAAGGCTTTCCATAAATTTCCTTTCTTCTTAATTAGGATCGATTGTGTTTTGAAAACAGATATACTTTTCCAAGACCCTTCGAAGTTCCTATATCGAACAAATAATTGGACAACTATCAAGAAAATTTTGGAAAAGACTTTTGCTCGATTCTTAGTATCCCATGGTCATATACTCTCTGAGGACTTTAAAAAGACTTCCAAACTGAGATCGCCATCTCCGTTAGAAAGTCCTTCTAGAAAGAGACGATCTGTATCCGAGTTTATTCTACACACAAACGCAAAATTCGGAACTATACGAGATAAAGAGATTGATGATTTAATACGACCTCGAAGCTTTATTCAAAGGGAAAGTTTGCAACCTTTGAAGTTGTTTCCAACGAAGCCTACTCCTCCAGTTATTAACATAGCGGAAGCGTGCTGCGATCATATAAGCAAGTTCGATAAAAGCGTAAACTTTAATAGAAATCATTTAACAAAAGGAAGCTATAGAATCATTAAACAAATAGATAAGAAGTTCATATTAATGACCTTAAAAGAAGATGATGATTCTGTTAGCTTGGTGATCTTGGATCAACATGCTTGTGATGAGAGAATTAAAGTTGAACAAATGTTTCAAGAATTTGTATGTCTACTTACGCAAAACCCAGCATTGAGATTATCCTCTCCTCATAAATTTGATTTATCTTCCCAGGAAATTGAATTGTTCATCCGATTTAAGAATAATTTTCAAATATTTGGAATAGTTTATGACATCACTGATTCGCAAATCCAAATTTCCCATCTACCGTTTCTTTTATTAGAGAAGGTTGCTGATGATTCAGAATTCCTTAAAAACTCACTATTGCAACATTGTTACGATTTGATGAATCATGTCAAGAATTCAGAGTTGAATATCGAGAATTGGTTTGTGGTTGTTCCTCATTTACCTCGAGTTCTAATTGAAATAATTAATTCAAAAGCATGTCGGTCAGCCATTATGTTTGGAGATGAATTGTCTGAAGATGCTATGGCTGAGATTTTAGAGAAATTGAGTACTTGTAAATTACCATTCCAGTGTGCCCATGGAAGACCATCTATAGCACCTCTAACCACTCTTGTATAAAAACTGTTCAGCATTAATTCACTCTAAGCGTGCTATCTTGTTCTGCTTATAGAAATTTATAAATTATTTGAAATTTTTAAAGTTGTGATGAGAACCTTGTTAGGAACAAAGATTTCCAGAAGAATTGTTGCAAATTTGGCTGCAAATTCTTTTTCTAATCACAATGGAATTCCAAATTTATCGACAAAACAGTATCGCAAGGTATTGGCTACTATATTTTCCTAGAGACTGGTTCACTTCATCTAAACATGAGATGATCATCAATCATAGAAAATAAAATCGATGTGAAAAGAGGAAATTTCGTCCAAGAAATTTTATATCACACCTGACCATTTTTTCCCCATCTTTTCTACTTGCGCACCAAAAAAAATTGACGGAACTGGTACTCAGAAACTATATCAAAATTTCACCCATGACATTTAAACTTTGTAGAATGCAAAAATAACAAAAATGGACGAGTCCGGAGTCGAACCGGAGACCTTTCGCATGCTAAGCGAACGCGCTACCAACTACGCCACACGCCCAATGAAAGAATGGTCCCTAGCAGGATCGAACTGCTGATCTCGGCGTTATTAGCACCGCGCCTTAACCAACTGGGCCAAGGGACCTGTTTCTTGTTTCAAAAAAAGTGAAATTAAGATTGATCATGTGTATCGCACGTGATTTCCGAGTGACTTTTGCGTGACATTCACATGACTTTCGCGTGATTTTAGTGTGATTCGCACGTGCACCTGGAGTTTTTTTTTTTTACATATACAATCTGGAGTTTGGCTCAACACAAAAGCAGTTAAGGACATTATGTGTGATGACTACAAGATAATAAAGAAGGACACAACTCAACATTGCCAACATGGTTTACCTTAACTTTTTTTACCGCCATATTTTGCAAAGGTGATTATATCTATTATTCCAAAACCAGATAA